GCACCGTCTGTCGGGAGCTTGTAATTGCATGGTGGACAAACAAACGCTGATGCCTGGCAGGGGAACTGAGAGGCGCCCCTATGTAGAGATCGGAGGTCCCAGAGGTCTTGAGGTTCCAGCCTGTTTAAATCCACCTTGAACACTCGCCGCTCTGTTTTGGAGGCGGCTCGCATCAACAAGCTCAGGAGGCTGAAAGGCGAGATGGACAAATACAGACGTGTGCGCACTGTTTCAGACCGGGAGCAGATTGTTCCTTCATTTTGCCGATGCTGCAGATTTGAAGGAGCCACTTGAGCGCAAGTTGAAGCCATTTATGAATGCAAAATTGGATTTGCACGACATTTTCGCTGATTTGGCAGCAGTTTTTGTTCATTTGTATTACCTGCAGCAGCCAAAGGAGGCCCACCGGTGGTTGTTAACCTTAAAAACTGTGTCCACTGCTTCCATACTCGGGATTACACTTAAAAGAAGTTTTTCAGTTTTTGAATAGGAAAGTAATATTTTGTCTGTTTCCTGGTAACATCAAGGTCTGACTGATTTGAGTCTCCCATTTCTTTATTTACTGCAGGACTTAAAATGAAAAACACACTGGCAAAGGCATTTCGAATGGCAACTCTAAAATCTACAAATGTTTCTGTGAGTGCAAATGATCAGTTTCGGTATTCGTTTCAGTTTTCAATGATATATTTGCATTGCCATTTTCAATGTATTTCTAAGTCGGTCATTGGTGATTATTTTGTCAATTAATGGATGAGTCAGATATTTTTAAAAAAGTAACTTCCGTCCCTTTATACAGAAAAAGTAAACTAATTTGTGACTAAATTACTCATTTAATCTGTAACTTGTTGGAAAATAGGAAAAACATTTTCATTATTGTTTTCCAAAGTAAAACTAAATGCTTTAGTTTGATTCAACACAAAAATAGTCTGCTATCATGGAGGACAACAGTGAGCAACTGTGATGTCATTTTCAGTCAAGAGAAAGGGGCAAAATGGCCGCCCCCTGAGATAGCTAAAAACCGGTAGATTTTACGACTCAACTCACATTCCAGAAAAGGCAACAGAATGTCGTGTTTAGACTAGTGGAGGCGCATAGAACATATTACTGTAAAGATCATTTCGGAGTTGACTTCCCGTTTGAAGCATTGCACAGCAGTGGCAGAGGTGGCTAACATTTCACTGCCATGGTGACACAGACATGGCTATTTTTCCTACGCCATCATTACACAACATCCTCTCAGTGGGTGCCAAGCATTATCTGACAATAACTGCCTGATCATCTGCTGCAGTCATGATGCTGCAATGCGAACAGCTGCTCGAGTATTTCTCCGGCGACCCCCGGGTTAGCATGACAACCGTGTGGCAGTTGTATTTTTGGTTTGGTCTGTGGCATGAGTGAGTGTCATACAGGAGCAGGACGCGTGCAGTGTGTTCTTTGGGTGTTTGAAAGTGACTGTTGGACATGTATCCTTTTGAGTCTCAGGCTTACCACAACCAGTTGTGGCTTTAATGCTCTTTCGGGAAGTATTTGATCATAGTTATTGGCTCAAAATCTTGTCAGTTGGAGCCCAGCAACCATAAAGGGACATTGTAATTGTCCTTGTAAGCTTCCCCGTTGTGTGTAGGGGAGTGTCATCAATGACACTTTGTGATGATGTGTAGTCACCAACAATTTGTTGTTCAAGATTGGCTTTTTTGGGGGGGGGTAATATTTTGTCCTGCTCACAAAGCCTTTTAATACTAGACAAACTGTCACACAAATTGCCTGGGGGTTGATCAGTACAGATGTTGGAGTGAAAAATACAAATACAGTGAAATACAGTGAAACCTTACGTTTTTGTGTCCAACGGTTGCCATGATAAAACCTGAAACTAACTGCAGGCAATGTAAACATCAGAAGTGGGTATCGCCACTCGTGAGCTGCCGTCAGTATTTCAGGCTGTCCGAGTGTGTGGAGGACAGCAGCGCTGCAGTGACACGGCAAAGTGTGCACGGTCATTGTGTGCCTTCTCCAAAATCCTCGACTCACTCACCAGGCAGGGCGTGTGCACTCGCTGGTAGTTATTATTTTGGTAAACTGTGACAGTGGCCACCTGCATTGCTTTGATTGATTGACCTTGTCAGTAAATAAATGGACACATCTCGTTATTGGATTAAATGCCTTTCAGTTTATTTGCCATGTAACTGGATTGCATAGCTACTTAATGTGTGATGGCTCGTAAATGTTTCCAGTGTCACGGCAGCTCTGCATCTCTATCTCCTCACCTTTTGTTGTCTGGAGCCGCAAAAAATTAAAAGCCTTATAATTAGCCTTACAATGAAGGCAACACATGTATCTATATTGGCTATATTAGCCTACTATCAAAATGGCTAAGTAGGCTACAAATACACATGAGCCTTCATTATCATGAAAACATGAAATCATGAAAACCTACACAGTGGATACGACTGTACAAAGGATCTCATCTGGAACTCCTTTGATAGAAGTACCTTGCAGGCGTAGATGAATTGGTTTCTGAATTAAGTTAATTGAGGGAAAATCCATGCTGTCTCAGATTAACAACTCCTTACGACACATGGAGGATTCTGTACATCTCAAAGGCCCTATGTTAGTCTCATTCATCCTAATTCCTAAAGCCTCCCCTCAAAAACTACAACCCCATTTACAATTTGCTCATGATAATAGACAGCCAGAATAAATCTTTCTTCGAATGAAGTCTTTATTTGTACCAGTCCCCTCATTGTTGCTCTATTTTCATGCCCACCGCAAGCATAATGCACGGTCTAACTGTGTGCGTGGTTGGAATTTTCTTTCTGTTGGTATTTTTGTAAACATGCGCAGTTGGACATCGGCGCTTGCGCCATTGTGGGAGTGAACACAGCGGACTTGATTCCCGGTTAATGGAAGCGGCTCCTCTCATACCTTTTAAATGCGGAGAGGCGCATGGCCTCCATGGCAGAAGCATAAACTGACACACTGAATGCGATGCTGGAAATTGATACCTGAAAGCACATTAATAAGAACCTGCAAGATGTCTTGCATTATTTTTCTCGTTCTGTCCTGTGTTTACGTGTTTTGTTCCATCTTTACTTTTGTTATATAGTCTTGAGTTGTGCTTCATCTCAATCTTGTCCTTGTACGGAATTAACGTAATCTGGAAAAAGGCTTGCCTCGACTACAGAGCACATGTTTGATTGACTGTTATTTGACCTCTTAAGTACTGTTCTGCTTAGTACTGCAGTGGCAGCTCTTCAGGTGGCTATGCAGGTCCAGTAAAAAATGTTGTTATATTTTTGTTCATTATATTATTATATATTTTTTAAAACAAATTTAAGGATGTCTTGTGGACTGAAGTGAAGTAAATTCAACACAAAACAAGCAAACCATCATCATAAACTGTTCAAGATGTTTGCATAAGGAATGTGTCATGTACAATTCAGTGCTGGATTGAGTGAAACTCTCAACACGATTGAAAATCAACGGGCAACACGAGGCCCAAATGTGACCTAGCTAATTGTAAGTGGGACTCCACAGAGGCTAAAGCAGATTAATGTTGTCGTCTGGCCCCACAATCTGTCTAAAGACATCCACTTCCCTTCGAGTCACATTGTGCTCCGGCTTAATCAATTTCTTGGGTTCATTTTAGTTTGCACTTTATAATATTGCCTTGCCATCATCGTTGGGTGATTCCCATTATTTGAGGTGCTTGCATTATTCCAGCCTTGTGCATTTTGAAGTCCCCCACGTTTGTCTGGGAAATTTGAATATTTGTGTATTAACGGGACATTTTGTGTTGTTGCATATCTTTTGCAAATGACATGATTCGTGATGCTTTTTTGTGCATGGGAGAAAAAAGTTGTGGCTCAGCAACTCTCGAGCAAAGAGCAAAGGTGAGCTGTCAGACAGCCAAAATGAATCCACATACAAAATAGCGTTTTCATTTTGAGATCACAGAAAACCGCAATTGTGCATGATTCGAATTGACAGAGTGGAAGAAGAGCAACCTTTTCCTGATGTCAACCACACAGCTAAGATGTTGATATTGCCGATTTATTTTATGTCATGAATATTGATCGACATTTAACCAGATGAATTATAACCGAACAAAAAATTTTCAACAATACATGAGGGCCACTTGCCTATTACACGGCCATTACTTGTCGTCGTAGGAGTCACCCCTTTTTAAATCGGGCGCCTTGCAATATATTGACGGTGACCCTACAGTATTACTCAAACCTCATAAACCAGCCAAATAAATGGACAGTCATTTTATGCAAGATGAGAGTCTGTAAAGCTGGTTTATAAATAGGCCTTGCATGCACAAAGAGATTATGTAATGCTTGCAGTCTTTTTATCACCAAAATAGCATAATACCTCAACTAATAAATACTAATACATCATTGTGGTACAAAAAATAAATAAAAAATGTCCCCCTCGCTCAGAGAATCTGCCCTTCCCGCGAGACTAGGTTAGCATCGTATTGCTAGATTAGCGGCATAGTGGCGGAATCATCTGGCGTCGCTTCACATTGGATGTGATCGAGCTGCCCCCTCCCCCCCCCTTCAATGTTCTTTTAACCGACCCAAATGTGCCACTCACTGCAGCTTTTTTTTTCCCGCAGCCGCCTTGCACGCGCCGCGCTCGCTGTAAGATGGTCCAACCACTGTTCCGCACACCGAACAGCTATCATTCCTGACAAAAGTGGAATGTGATGGGCGAAAATATACAATTGGTTTTACATTTCATGTTAGGGGTTCTGAAATGAATGAGGACAAAAACCATGACATCATAAAAAGGACTCTGGTGGGTGGGGGTGGGGGGGTCGCTGTATTAAAGAAAACCCAAACTATGCACATTAACCCTTCCATGCACCCTGTAACCTGCTAACATGATAAGATGTTCACGGTAGTAACTGCTGTACCTCAAAGGGTTAATTGTGAAAAGAGGTTTTCACCGCTGATGTTTTAATAGACCCGAACGCTGTGCTTTTTCTTTCCCAGTCAATAAGCACAAGCCGTGGATCGAGACCACTTACCACGGCATTGTGACAGAGAACGATGACAAAGTGCTGCTGGACCCCCCTTTAATTGCACTGGACAAGGATGCGCCGCTACGCTACGCAGGTGAGGAGGTGGGGCTTAATGCCGATACTCTTTTGGATTGTTTTTAAGGCACGGTTTATATTGAATGAAAGTCCAATTTAATTTTAAAACGCCATGGTCTTTCCATCTGGTTTGAAAATGTGTGATCCCTGTGACGGTGAGATGGCCGGCGACCGTATCCTTCAATTCAGACCTGTTTGATATTCGGATGAAAACACCCTTTCATATTTAATGAAAAGGGTTTTGGTTTTTTTCATATATATATAATTTTTTTTAATCACATTGGGATTGATTCTGTCTGTGGGTTCAAAGCACCACAGCCCCCGCCCCCGGCAATGATTTCCCACCGTTTCACATCACATGAGATTGTTGAGATCTTTTGTCTGCTACTCGCTTCCCGCTCAGTGCTCCCGCACCGCTTGAGCCGACCCGTTTTTAATCTCAGATTACCTCGTGTGATTTAGCGTGCCAGCTACTTCCATCCACGTGCCTGTCGGGAGCTTCCCAATGTGACTTCTTACCCAAGTCAGTTGCATTGCCATGTTCTCAAGTGCGGATCTTTCCAGCAGCAAATCGGCAAACAGTTTTGCATCCGCCTTACAGTTACAATGAATGTGATGTCTAAAGATCCGAGTTACAATGCCAGGTCATGGTAAAACTCTCGGAAAAAAAATTCATGGTGAAGCAGCGGTCCTGCCGCAACTCTCGCCTCCTCTTTCTAGATGTCGAACTCTTAGTTTCTACTTTTGGGTTTGAAATGTATCTTTTGTGACAACAGTCCTTGAACCTTTTCGGACTCACCTCATATGTAAGCGGCAGCATCATGTTTTGTGTCTGTCATCTGTTGAAACGTGTCCCTTCACCAAAATTACAAGCAGGACCAAATGCCACCCAAAAACAGAGCCAAAGTCACAAATTAGTACAGCTCAACCCGTTTTAGGTTCTTTCGATGTCTTTCCTTAATCAAAAAATATCGGGTGTGACAGTTTGATTCTCAATGAATTTGTGCTGTTGTTATTCTGCTATTTTAGAAACCTGCTTTGGGACCACGGCGCATTTACACTGTTTATTATTGAGTTGATTAATGTGCACTGTCCCAATGAAATAAATAACCAAATAAACAAATTGCAGAACACATGGGAAAGATCTGAACTATTTATGTTGTACTTGGAAGCCGGGGTTTGCCTCTCCAAAACATTTGTGTGTTGACTGATTGCATCAATCGTTCACATTGGCAAACCGAATCGAATTTGAGGCCTGCACTCCTGCTCGCTGGGCCTCCCTATTTGACGTGAATAGTCGGCACGTCCATGTGAAGTATCTCCCCGTGGACAAAAGCTGGCAGCCTGGCTTCACGTGGCAGCAGGGGTGACTGGCGGTGTCGTGCCAGCCGCCTTCTAGTCAGTCCATCTGTGCCCAAAAAGTACAGTTCGCTGTCAAGGCCGTTGAAGCCCAATCACTCGCTCTCAAATCAGGAAGATAAGAGAAAATCCCATCGGAGAGCTCATCTCACGAAGCGCCAGCCCTAAAACGAGTCTGGCGTTCAGGGCGTCTTTCCATATCTGCATGATGACTTGAATTGAGGCTAATGGAGCTTGAATTGTTTACACCCAGGCCTTTGTACAGCCGGAAAAACGAGGTATTTATTCAAGAGTGAATATTTTACAATAGCAAGAGGACAGGTTTTTTTTCTTCTTTTGTAAGGCCCCGTTTGAAAAACTGTTCCTGCAACACATTTAGCAGGTGAATATACTGTACGGCGTTACATTTTTGCATCGCGGAGCGTTAGCGGTCTTTTGTGAAAGCCGATCCAGGCTGTGCTGCTGAGGAATTCATGAAGTCTTTGTGTGCTGGTCATTAGGGCTGAACACTGAGGTGGTAGTGAACACTGAGGCCCACAATTGGGACCGCATGACTGCTCCTGGTCAGCCGCTAAAAGTAACGCCCACTTGGGATTCTTTTAGTCAAGCAAAACGGTAATAAAAAGGCCAGCAGAGGTAGACAGCATAAAACCATTATTATCCTTTTTAGCGTTTTTACTGTCGAGGTTGACACTTGGGACTTGAAACTCAATTTTTCTTTTTTTTTTTTGATGGTGCAGTTTTGTACGATGAGATCCATTCATTCATTACACCTCTGTACTAATAAATGAGGCGGCTCGATGGTCCAGTGGTTAGCGCGTCAACCTCACAGTGCAGAGGTACCAGGTTCAATCCCCACTCCGGTAGAGTTTGCATGTTCTCCCAGGGCCTGTGTGGGTTTTCTCTGGGTGCTCCGGTTTCCTCCCACATTCCAAAAACATGCATGGCAGGCTGATTGAACACTCTAAAAATTGTCCCGAGGTGTGATTGTGAGCGTGGATAATTGTTCGTCTCTGTGTGCCCTGCAATTGGCTGGCAACCGGTTCAGGGTGTCCCCCGCCTACTGCCCGAAGACAGCTGGGATAGGCTCCACTACCCCCCGCGACCCTTGTGAGGAGAAAGCGATTCAGAAAATGGATGGATGGACTTAAAAATGAATAAATAATCCACACAAAAAGCTTTCTGTCCAACTCCTCTCTGACTTTTCTCTTTGGGTCAATGCCGAAATGTTTACAAGCTTTTCGTCCTAAATTCTCAAATGCTGCATCCAGTCTCACCATCAACTTCAGCTTTACAGATGCCAGACGGTGTGTGCTGTGCTAAAGGTGTTTACACATCGCGCGGGCAGATGTCGTAGCGATGTTGATTACTGCCAATTCGCCGACCTATTATCTGATGAAATACCGGCTGTCAATATGTTCTGTCACCCGACTATTTGAAAGGCTATTTTTTTTCCTTACTGAGCTAAAAGTGAGCTTTCAAACACAACAATCGCCACGCAGTAAGTTCACTCCTGTCTTCTGTTGTCTTCTGAGCTTCTAACTCTTCTTTAACTGACCTCGGTTTATCTTCTCTCCCCTCCCTGTAGAGAGTTTTGAGGTGACCCTCACCGAAGAAGGTGACCTTGGGCTCTTTCTTCTGCTTTGTGCTTATTGTTACTATTAACCCACTAACACAAAATGGCATCTGCACATTCACACAGAAACGCCACGCCCGCCTTGCTCCGTAATTGACCCATTTGGTTTTCTCGACTTTTATGTTTTTTCGGTTTTTATCCTCCTCCCCTTTACCAAAGAATAGTTCAGAGTTTTGATAGCTGGATGAAGAGTATGCTGTGGGGCTTACTCAATTAGAAATATCTGTGCATGAGGCATCCCTCGCAGTTTGCAGACCCTAACAGTTTTTTCAGCTATCACCAGGAAAACAGAAGGCTGCTTTAAAAACAGCGCTTCTTCACCAGATTGGATAGATTTTTTTTTTAATCAAAAATTCTGAACAATATTTGAGGCATAAAGTGTTTTTGTTGTGCCTGATGTTTTTTTTTCTAATTGTAAACTCTTCAAATGAAAGCTGCTGAGATTGTTAACCAATGCAAACTCTCTGCTATTGTTGCATCTTTGCCCGAGTGGATTTTTTATTTATTTTTTTAATCTCCACCACTAATATATCCCATTAGCATGGCTGCAGTTGTCATTTGATATGGATGCAAGCAAGTTGATATTTCTAACCCCAGTTCTCATCCAGTACTTTTTATTTAAATATGCAGATTTAGTCCCCTTAATTGGTTGGTAATTAATTACGGTACACAATAGTTTTGCAAAGAAAACTGTGGTTGAATGTAGGAAATGCACAGAGCAGTGTGGTGACATACCTTCATGGAATTATGACGAAATTTACGCAATCTTTGAATTTCAGTACATTGAAGGCCCCCGCCGCCCCATCCTCTTTTCTTTTTCTTTGGCTTATGTTCTGCACATTTTCCTCACGAATAGCTCGTAACCTTTATTCATCTCAAAAAGAAACAGGTCACCACTGATAGTGCTCTGTGATGTTCTAATTTTGGAGGTTTGGGTTTCTCTTAGATGAGCATACTTTTGTGAAATGCCTGAGCACATCTTTTTGGTTTCTGCCTGCATGACTGAATGCTGACAATTATTTAAAATGGCTTGGAAACAAAACACGCCGTCTTCTGTATATTATTGAATGTGTCCCACCCCCCTTCCCAACTCCCCTTCAAAATGCTCACCCAACTATAAAAGTGCTTTTGGGCTTCCTCCACAGACACCACCCACCCCTCAAACGTCAACTCCTTGGCTCCTAAAAACCTGTGGCTGATCTTTTTTTTTTTTTTTTTCTTTGCCTTAATTCATACATTTTGCTGTGAGCGATTAGATAAGAAACAACATGCATTTCACGCCGTTTTTAACGCAATCTCTTTTTTAAAATTTTGTTCAGGTGAGATTTGCGGCTTCAGGATCCATGGGCAGAATATCCCCTTCGAAGCCGTGGTCCTGGACAAATCTAGTGGCGAGGGGGTCATTCGGGCAAAAGACAAGTTAGACTGCGAACTGCAGAAGGAACACACCTTCACCATCCAAGCGTACGACTGCGGAGAGGGACCTGACGGTGCCAACATGAAGAAATCACACAAGTCAGTTTGAGTAGTTTCCATCCAGTCTGAGTTGCTTTCCCTTCTTTTGCTTATTTGCTTCATCTTCTGCCGAGTCATCTGGATCGTGAAAGCCCTCGGCCAATGACGGCACTAGTTTTGCAGCCGAAGCTTATTATGTGGAGTTTGTCTTTGTCAGGGCCACCGTCCACATCCAGGTGAACGACCTCAATGAGTACTCGCCGGTCTTCAAAGAGAAGTCCTACAAAGCCACCGTCATTGAGGGAAAGAAATACGACAGCATCTTGAAAGTGGAGGCGGTGGATGCGGACTGCTCTTTCCAGTTCAGTCAAATCTGCAACTATGAAATTGTCACGCCAGATGTGCCCTTCACCATTGACAAAGAGGGTAAGGACTCCCGCCAATGAATCTGACGGTCCCTGCCGGGATCGGAGCCATAATTTGCATCATGCTCGGCACATTGATTTTCGCAATCAATCGGGCCCGCTGGACGGGTCGTTTCGAATGCACCCCCAACTAAAGACAAAGGCAAGGAAATGTCATCCAAGCCTGGTCTGCTATTCAGGCTATGCCACCGTTTTTGTAATATCAGTCGGTATTTATTTTTCATTTCGAATTTTAGCTGTTGCACTCACAGATAAAGCGAAATGTTAAAACATTATCCCGTGCTATTTTATTTTCAATCTTTATATGATACTGTAACTACTGCTTATCAGCATCCAAGTTTCAGGAATGACTAGTTTGAGTCACGTTATCTCACCCCAGCTTTGACATTAAACAAAGAGTGACTCGAACGCCAGGCGATGTTTCTTGTTTCAATCAGGCCTCATCAAGAACACAGAGAAACTAAACTATGACCGAGAGCACATGTATAAGCTGACTGTGACCGCTTACGACTGCGGAAAGAACCGCGCCTCGGAGGACGTCTTGGTCAAGATCGGCGTCAAGCCAACTTGCAAACCCAGCTGGCAAGGTATCAACATGCTCTCCGACTTGCTAACCATCACACTGTATATGTGCGTAAAGAAAGAGTTTCACGTCAACCGCTGTTTTGTCAGAAGGCTCAGTCTGCGTTGGCCTGGAAAGGAAGTGCTTCTTTTAGCCTAACTTGTGCGGACAAGTCCAGCATCGACTGCCGCGCCTTATCATCGCTGCGTTGAAGGACACCTTTGTCACACTCCCTCGATTTCTTGCCCTCAGGCTTCAATAAGAGGATTGAATATGAGCCCGGCACGGGAAGCCTGGCTCTTTTCCCCAGCATGCACCTGGAGACCTGTGACGAGCCAATTACGTCCATCAGAGCCACAATTGAACTCGAAACCAACCATATTGGAAAGGGATGTGACCGCGACACCTACTCTGAGAAGTCTCTGCACAAGCTGTGCGGTAAGGAGCTTATTTTCGGAGTAGCGGGAGTCCACTGTAAATGATTCTCTGACTAATTGGAAAAAAAAAAAACATTTAGGAGCCAGCTCCGGTGCAGTTGAGCTTCTGCCATCACCCGGCAGCTCCGCCAACTGGACGATAGGACTACCCACCGATAACGGGCACGACAGCGACCAGGTGTTTGAGTTCAACGGCACCCAGGCCATCAAGGTTCCGGACGGCTTGGTGAGCACCAGCCTGAAGGAGCCCTTCACCATATCGGTGTGGATGAGACATGGACCCGGGGCCCATGAGAAGGAGACCATCCTCTGCAATTCTGACAAGACAGGTAACTGCGTATGAATGTTGATTGTACTTTGAAAACAGCTTCATAATCTAAATGGCTGCGAAGATCAAACCTCATCTGTAATAGGTGCCCTGTCCTCTTTCCAGTTGATTCAATGAAAATAGCCTAGACGCCATGTGAGAGGCAATATCTGTTGTCACAGTTTCTTCCATTTCGATCTCAGAAGATTGTAGTCTTTCTTGTCCTCTCATCCACGTTTCTGCACTCAGCGGGCTGGCTCGTATCTTTTCCTTCTGACCCCTGCCAAGTTCTTGCTCACCTCTCCTTTATTGTCTCTGGTTGTTTATTTGAAGCTCACACCGACCGGATCTTATTGACTAGAAAGTCTCAGAGAAATGTGTTGATGGCTCATCAACTTCCATCCCCCCATCTTATATAAGAAGGATTACATCCGTGCGGTCGCGCATCTGTACTGCCTGTGATCATGCCACCATTATTGCCCCGCCACCACCATTCGGTACAGGGTCATAAATTGAATGAGCTGTCACGGCAGAAGGTCATTTTATGTTCAACTGATTATTTGTTGATGTGAACATGCAGTTTATTCAAGACCGTTGTTGCCTTTGAATGAACACAGCTTTGTTGTTTTGCTGTGTATCAGTTTCTGTCAAAAGTAGATGAATAATGTGAATAATAATAAATGTTCCAAATTCATATGATGGTGTCCGGTCATATCCACCCTGCAGACTTGAACAGGCACCACTATTCCCTCTACGTGCACAACTGCAGGCTGATCCTTCTCCTCCGTCAAGATCCCTCGGAGGCGGAGAACTACAAACCAGCCGAGTTCCACTGGAAACTCGACCAGGTGGGCTCCTATGGCCACATTAACTCAAGATGCTTCTATTTTTATTCCCCTTCAAAATGGTATCAATGGTTTCATATGCTCCGTGTTCTCTGCAGGTGTGTGACAAAGAGTGGCATCACTATGTGCTGAATGTGGAGTTCCCCACGGTGACGCTCTTTGTGGACGGGACAACCTTTGAACCCTTCCTGGTCACGGAGGACTACCCACTGCATGCTTCCAGGATTGAGACTCAGCTCACCGTTGGTGCTTGCTGGCAAGGTAGGACGTGTAAAACTCTGTCGCACAACATGAACGTTGGAATTTTAGCAATGCAAACATTGAGATGACTCTGCGGAAAGCGTCTATTCCTATTTTATCATATAATGTTTGCAAAGTAACCTTGCAGCGTAACCACCAATGTGAACTCAATCCCACTAGAAGATCCTCAACCTTCCTCCCTGTCTCTCCCGAATCTCTTTTTCCCTGTTTTCTGCAGAACACTCGGGACATGACAATGACACTGAGACACTCTCTGAGTCTTCCTCAGGTTGCCCAAAATCTTTCCCTTCTCAGATACAATACTTCCCTGTGTCTGCCATGTCCCACCGCGCTAACTGCATCCTCATGCCACTTCGACTAGAATTATCCCCGCACATTCTAGTTGCAGACGCGTTTTTGTTTTCAAGCATGTTGCCATGATTCACTCCCGTTTAAGTATCATTTTTTTACATCATCATCCGACCAGATCAACTGTACTAGACATAGGATAAGCACAAAACGCATTGCTGAGTGCAGCCTCCTCTTTCATCGCGTGATCCTGACAGCGCAAATGGATGTTAATCCAGGTCAGATGACAGTGGAACATTCAGACACAGAGACAGTAGTTAGACACTCTGGACTACGTCACCTCATCAGGATGGATATGCCCGTCTGGAATATCCCAGTCCCTCAGGATGCATTGTTTAATGCACAGGTGTCAAAGTCAAGGCCCGGGGGCCAGATCTTCTGGCCCGCCACGTAATTTTATGTGGCCTGCGAAAGCAAAAAAAAAAAAAAAAAAAGCATGTTAAGTTTTCATGAGGGTTGCTAAAGTCTTAACCAAATTTTCAAATTGTCATATGTAATCCACAATAACAGTCGTTATTCTTGAAGTCTGATTTTAAAACTAGTTATCCATCAATTTATTCTGCGCTGTGCATGTAGTATGTGGAGGTGATTAAACATTTATATGGTTTCCCAAAATTCATAACGGCCCTCCAAGGGGAACCATAACTACAGTGTGGCCCGCGATAAAAATGAGTTTGACACCCCTGGTTTAATGTTTTGACAACTTCATCTTTAAGTTGGTTTGTTCTGTGCCATGGTAAACCAGCAGTACCGTTCGCCGGGCATTGCATGTGTATATGTATTCAATCACCCATGATTTTGTTGTCGGAACCAGACTCATTTGGGCACGCGCACTAACTTGCATGAACTTTAGACTGCCTTTGTACCTCGAGCCTGCATGCCCCGATGTTCTGGCCCGAAAAGGTGAAACGTGATGCCTAATTCTTCGCTGTCCTTGTCTCTTTGTTTCATCCTCATCAACTCTCTCACGGCGTGCATAGGCGGAAACGCACGCATGGCCCAGTTTTTTCACGGAAACCTTGCGGGGCTGATGATTCGCTCAGGCAAGCTGGAGAACAAGAAGGTTATTGACTGTTTGTACACCTGCAAGGAGGGCCTGGATGTACAGCTGCCCGAGGAGGTGGCGTCCACGGTTAAGGTGAGGAGGCCAAAGCAAACAGCGCAATCCAATTGGCTAATCTTATCGATCCCTTGCGCCTTTGTCTGGTCATGTCTGGCGTAGCTCAAATGCGATTTTGTTCACTTCTCTTCCAGGTGGAGTTTAACCCCAACCAGTCCTCCCTGACTGTCGAGGGGGATGACATTGACGCTTTTGACAAGGTCATGCAGCACATCTCTTACTTGAACTCCCGCCAGTTCCCGACGCCCGGCATCAGACACCTTCGCATCTCCACCGCCGTCAAGTAAGCAGCAGCGAGGAACCCTGCGGCCATTTTTCGACTCCTTTTCGTCATTGTTAGGAAGTGATTTTCTGGTTTGACGGGACTGCATTAATCAGGCTTTCGCAGAAGGGGATTGCTATTTGTGGCGCTACATATATGTAGCGATCACACCCTAATGAGAAATTCAATAACTTTTTGTATTTAATTTACCATCATTCTAAATGACCTCATTTGTGATTTACTCCCTAATTATTTAATGGGGGGGGGCGGGGTGGGGGGGGGGTTAAAATTAAGTTGTCCGCACTATAGAAATGTACAAACCTAAAGATCAACTATGTTCCCTTGTTGTCAAGGATCGCAGGTATTTATGAATTTGTCTCGCCCGTAACCGAAATTCACTCACAGGGAGAATAAAATGCACCGATCTCTCTAGGTGCTTTAACGAGGATTCCTGCGTGACCATGCCGGACGCTGAAGGTTACGTGATGGTGCTGCAGCCCGAGGAGCCCAAGATCAGCCTGAGCGGCATTGACCACTTTGCCCGCAGTGCTGCCGAATTTGAGAGCCAAGAAGGCGTGACGCTGTTCCCCGAGCTGCGCATTGTTAGCACCATCACCCGCGAGGTTGAGGCTGATGCGGAGTCTGAAGCCACCGAGGGAGCGGACGATGACCCCACGGGTAGGTGAAATGCACGCTGGAATTGAACATGAGCATCCCCCCCCCCCCGCTCCCTCTTTAATGTTCTTGCCCAAGATGCATCACACCCATTAAGCAGCCTAAAAGTCATATGATAGCTGAAGCGTTAGAAAACAGTGAGCACGGGGAACGCCGCTGCTCATACACGAGTACAATGACAGCGTGGCGGGAGGATTATGCCATGCAGCCGAAGGGATTGGACAGAGTGAGTGACAGAGAGGTTGTTTACTCCTTTATGGGGAGGGGCCATTGGAAGCTCACCATCTGTTAGCTTTGTCCTGTATGCGATCTGAGATCGGGAGACAATACATTTGCACAGTGGTTGAAACAGAAACCGGAGTGATGAGGACAATTGATTAAGCATCGGGCAGGCAACAAACAAGCCTCCAAGACTTCATTTAATTGTAACGTCCAAACAAATTCGACACAGAAAATAACATTTGAGGAGTGCAATTATGTGGGGTTTTATGGACATTGGTACATATTTTTTCGATTGGAAAATGACACCCTCCTTCAGTCGGACTCAGCAGCTTGATGTGTGACACAGATATCGGCAGTTTTCAAAATGAATTAAAAGCATGACAACACTGAGGCTGCACACTGGGAAAAAAAATAATGAGCCGCAAAACACGAGTTGATGTTTCTCTGTTTGAATGACCGCTGACTTAACCTGCGATTGGCTGGCGACCGGTTCAGGGTATCCCCGCTTCCTACTGCCCAAAGACAGCTGGGATAGGCTCCAGCATGCCCCGCGACCCTTGTGAGGATAAGCGATTTGAAAATGGATAGAGGGATGGATAGTTCTCGAAGCGTTCCTAGTAATCCGCGTGGTAAAATAATTTTGATTTGACTTTTTGAAGTGTTTTATTTTGACACTGCATATGCATAGGCATGATTCTTCTTGTGTTTCGGTGTCTTTCAACAAAACTAAAAAAAATCCTCGTTACTGTTCTTTCAGTCCAAGAGACGGTGGTCTCTGAGGAGATCATGCACAACCTGGACACATGCGAAATGACCGTGGTAGGAGATGAACTGGATGCAGAGCACGAGGGCCTGGAAGTAGACACGGAGCAGCTGCAGCAACGTGGCCTTGAGATGAGCTCCTCCCACCTTGGCCTCGTCATCACCGGTATGGACAGTAGCGCTCGTGTTCGGCCTTTTGAACGTCTTCATTCTCCATGCCTTCTCGTGCTCCAGGCGTGAACACCATGGCCAACTACGAGCAAGTCCTGCATCTCATCCATTATAAGAACTGGCACACCGAGGCGCTCTTCGATAGGAAATTCAAACTGGTGTGCTCTGAGCTGAACGGGCGCTACATCAGCAACGACTTCAAGGTCGAGGTAGGACTGAACTGGTTCGTTTACTCTCGTGACTACGATGCGACGCGTGTCGTTTGTGTGTCTGCTTTCCAGGTGAACGTAATTCACACAGCCAGCGCCATGGAGCCTTTCCACAGTGCCATGGTGCAGCCCAACTTCATCAACCCCGTGCATCAGGCGTCCGTGGACCTGTCTGGCCACAACCTTGTCAACGCTCACCAGTCGTCAGGTACTGCGTCATGGGCCGGCCATGTTTGTGCAACCCTCACCTAACCACCACATGGCAATCCAATCTTCGTACCGCATGCTAGCAAAGCTATTCACTGACACCCAGTGGCACCTTCCTCGGAGGAAAAAACAAAGCGTCCATTTTATTTAAGTGGACGACCCATCTGGAAATCCATGCCTTATCAAAAAAGTCTCCCCAATGTTTTATATTTTGACCTTATATTAAGTTTAGTGAGAAGCACATGGCTCCTGATGCTGCAAGTAGGACATACATGAATCAATGTTCATTTCAACCCCCTCCGCACCCCCGCACCCTCCTTTATTATTTTTATTTTTAATGACATACGTTTAGGGATTACACTTGAGTGCAGCCTGTGACATCTGTGCACCGCCTTTTATTTCCAGGTTCCAATAATCTTCCAGGCTGTCGGGCTCGCTAAGCCTGCCAATGCACGAGAGGGCCTCCACAACGTTAATAAACGCTAAGCAGGGCCGCTTCCTAACCGGAGCGGGCTTTCAAAAAAAAAAAATCCGACCGGTCTCATTGTGTGTGTTTGCAGTGGTTCCCAGCGCAGCCACCATCGTCATCGTCGTCTGCGTCAGTTTCCTGGTGTTCATGATCATTCTGGGCGTGTTCCGGATCCGGGCCGCACACCAGCGCACCATGAGGGACCAGGAGAACGGCAAGGAGAACGAGATGGACTGGGACGACTCGGCCCTCACTATCACCGTTAACCCCATGGAGGTAAAAGACAAAAATGTGGGGTGGTTGGTAGGAAGGCAGCTGTCTCCCTGCGACTGCTTGATCGTGTTGTCAGCGCCCTACTTTTTCCACTGAGCTGTCATGATTGACAGGCTGCTGGGGATGGGGAGGGGGCTTATTTATGGGATGATATCTTGATCATTTGCATAAAAGACACACACACACACAGTCAGTCAGACAGGAGCTACATACTTTCATGACATACATATTTGGAGATATTTTTTTCCAGCTCTGATACCGATTGCAATTATTAGTCACGATGAACAAAATGCGCGTTCACCTCATGGTTCGTCAGGGTTCGTTTCAGGTCGCAAATGCTCATCAAGTGCTCGTCAGTCATTCACCAAGAGTTTTTGTGGGTTTTTTTTTCTTTCTTGTCACAACGGAATTTTGAACATGTTCAAAATTCAAGAACAGTACAGGCGAACTCGCGATCATTTGTTGCCTTGAACGAAACCTGACGATAACCCAACATTCGCTACCTTTCAAAAATGGGATAGGGGCTTAACCGACATTTGGAGCCAATATGTCAAATATCGGTGCCAATAATCAGCCCAGACGATAATCGGTCTATCCCCTACAGAATTGTTTGTCTCAGTTATGCAATCTTCAGGATTTGTTCTTTCAAAATGGGATCATTTAGCACTTTTACACTGCACACTTGCCTCGGTTTTCAGGTGTGCATTTTTAGGTACAAAGTAGTACAAGGAGTCAAGGGAGACTGTGAAAACCAAATCACATTGAACACAATTTGCAGCAACAATGAAGTCTCCTGTAATTGCAGCAGTTCTTGGCACGTGGATGTTAAAATCTAGATGGAGATACACTTTTTTTTTTTTTTTTTGGAGAAGGTTGAGCTCAACATTAAAGATGACCACTGCAGTAAAAGTGGACACGATGGAAGCAGGGTTAGCTAACACCCGCATGTATTTGTTCTTTGCATTGTCCTCAAATGTAAAAATGACACAGCAATCATGCATCTGCTCGACCATTCACCACTTGTGGATTAGACAGGGTTTTGGCTTGACTTACTAACACTCCTCTCGTCATTTCAACATAGTTCCTTTGCACCCAAATAGCGCAGGACGGTACCAAAGCTCTGCTTTTGTATTAGACAGATGTCTGTGCCATCTTGTGGTGTTTTAAGGCATTTCAGAAAGAGTTAGGTACTGTATCTACAATTTGGTGCTCATCCAAATGGATTCACTGGAGGGCCTGCCCATTAGAAACAGCACGTCGTTTTGTAAGGGACATTTTTCTGAGTCTGTCATATTTTGTTTTGCCATCACCCTCGAAAAAACTGAGATTGGAGTCAGGAAGGGGTGAAGACAGTCTGGTTGTAGTTAGATTTTTGTATGCCGGCAAATGGCCTTTACATCACGCCGCCGACGACACAGCAAAGTGCTTTAAAATGGCTTGGATGTCAGCATGAGCGCAGGCTCACGCGGTTTTTACCGATGCCTGTTCATTTACGCAGACGTACGAAGACCAGCACAGCAGTGAGGAGGAGGAGGAGGAAGAGGAAGAGGAGAGCGAGGACGGCGAGGAGGAAGATGACATCACGAGCGCCGAGTCGGAGAGCAGTGAGGATGACGAGGGCGGCGAACAGGAGGACCAGCAGGGGGCCAGCAGACAGCAGCAGCTGGAATGGGACGACTCCACCCTCACTTACTAGAACGACGCACACACACACACACACATACTCACTCATATACACACACACTCACACATACACACACTCACACATCACTAATTTGCACTCACTCACTCAGATGTTCATCCTCACCACAGGAAGACAAAGAGCCGCAAAGTTACAAAAAAAAAAAAAAAAAAATTGATCGTGGTCAAGGTTTCCCTCTTGTCATCTTAGTGGCCGTACTCGGTGTTGTGTCGTCATCAGCGGCTTGTTTTACTTAATTTATTCTCTTTGCATTCACAGGAAATCTTGGCCAAAATTTCTTTTCCGGTGTGTGAGGAAGCCAACCGTGCACTTTTTAGTTTTCTCTCCCACACAAGGCTTCGGAATCATTTCTAGATTTGTTTCTGCTGCTGAAAATCCCCGCTGGTAGAGCAGTGACTTGAATTAACGCTTTTCACGACCGTTTGCTTGTTTTTCTTTGCTTTGCTTTTTAACCTTTTTAGTGCATGAAGAAGTCTTATGTGTAGAGAGATCCACTGCTTTTTAAAGATGTTTGTAAATATTAAGAAACCATGTAATTAGTCAATGTGCTTGTGAAGGCCTAAGCCACAGGGTCCAATATCTACAGATGCTTACTATTTGTGTCACGCAGGTTGTAGCATGTCGCTGAAAATGTGTACAAAAGTGTCGGCTTTCATGACCAATGTATTGGATTTTTTTTTTTTTCTTTTTACCCCCTTTGCGCTCTCCTCTGTGCGCAGAGGACACGCGCTTCTTTTTGCTTGAACACGCGTCCCTTTTATTCCCGCCTGATGGGATTTACAGGGTGCAGATGGACGACGGTTGCTAAAGTGGGCCAGCAACAGCTCTTAAGACAACCATCCTCAGTGTAATTCCCAAAGGAGCAAACCGGCTCCAGGTAAAGCTTCTTGTCACCTGTACGGCAAATTGTCTGCAGAGCAGCTGTTTTAATCTGAGCTAATATTCAAGCATTTATCTCCAAATAGTAACAATTGGGTGTTGGAACTGAATATTGGGCAACTTGACTTCACACTACAGCTTTGTTTACAGTCGCTTAACGCAATGTCCTTTTGCTTATTGTAAATGAGTGACTCCATTTTCATTCTCCTCCCAGACAACGTTGTATATATTGTTCCTCAAATATAAGTCTCACTCACATGAACGAATGAGCAGTTTTGGGCCCCTTTTACTGTACACTGCTTGTTCAAGCTGCCATTTACTTGTGTATAAAGATCACTGGGAGACAGATGACTGATGCCAACCCTCCCCATTTCCCGGAAGGTCCAGGACATTGCGGCCGTATAATACTGTCTTCTGCAATCTTTATAGAGACAATTTTACTTGATAAAAATCACCATCAACCAAAATATCACCAAAAGCGTATGCAGTGTTTTGGGAAATAATGATGATTGACTCAATGGGAAAATCGGTTCCTGTTTTGCTGAACACAAAGCTATTCTACATTGTATGAATGACAACAGGCATTTGGACCTTTTGCTATCGAGTGCAGGGATGGGCAACTTAAATGGTGATATTACAACTTAAAACTGCAGTCGACCCCTGCGGATTTGCTGTTTGGCACCCGTTGAGTTGTTACTCATTCCCCTTGCTTGTTTTTTTTTTTAATATACTGTATACTGTATTGGATTTTTATCAGCCCTTTTTGAAGATATTTGGGGAAGGGGGGGTGTTTAAAAAATGATCCCAGTTTTTTTTTTTTTTTTTTAATTAATGAAGGGGCCATACAGATTGTGTGAAGCCTGGAGACCCCCAGTTGTCCATCCCTGATCTAGTGGAAGAGCATTTAATTGTTCTGCCCGTCATTAGACAGCTTAGTTAAAATACACTGTGTATTTGGAGTCAATATTGTTTTTTAGAACAGTTCAGTAAAGGTCATCACCCTGTTTTCTTTCTCATTTTCATTTGGCTCACTGCGAGTCTGCTTTTTAATTCACAAATAAAGTCAGAATATGAGAAAATTACGACAAAGCAATAAGGAATAAAAAGTTGTTCATATTTTTTTTTTTTAAGATACAAAAATTAATCATCAGGAGTTGTGCTGATTCTCTCTCTTGGGAAATCAGGAGGGTTGGTAGCTCAGGGGGGTGTGATTGTCTGCATTTAGAGTTGTTCGCTGTGTTGAAAGTATAGTTTCTGTCGAATGACCGATTGCTGCATCTCACCTTTGCGGCAATATTCTGCTTGTCTGGATTCTGTGTGAAAGCCACAGCGGGGTAAATTCGGGTTTGTCTATTACGGTTCTGGAGCGAGATCTTTTGAGTTAAAGAGCTTGAAGAGAAGAATGTCATTTTGCATGCAAATACGCTTTGAATTATTTTTGTGCAGTCTCCGTGGCGCCCCCTGCAGGCCCGATGATGGGAGTGCCTTTTGCTGGTCACAGTGTAAGGAGCAGATGTAACAATTTAGCCCTGCTTATAATATTGGCGTTTTAAGTTGTTGTTCATTTGTAACTGCAAACTGCTAGGTTTCTTACTGAACTAAATGAGACTGTCTGTAAAAAAAAAAAAAAAGTCAGGGCGTGGCTAGTTTTGATTTTACACACTGTTAATGTGTCCATGTTGTTGTGTAGCTGACGTAGAGCCATTGTGTTTCTTCGATAGATATTGTACTAAATCCACTTTTAACCAGATGTACAGTACGTAATGACAAAGTTTTGGCAGAATACATTAGTAACCCGTGTGTGTGTGCGCGCGCGCGTGTACGGGTATTGTGACTCTTTTAAGGTTGGGGGGGAAAAAAATCATATTTGAATGGTCAGTGTGTGTACCCGCGTGTGTGTGCGCGCGCACACAAACAAATCAGATTTGTGATTAGCCACACTGAGCGACACATCACTTGCCCCCGATTGAATGTCTCAGCCATCCAATGAAAAGGAAACAATAATAACGTCGCATGAACCACGAGTTGGTGAACATTTCATATTTGTGTGAGACTGGAGTGCGGAGACGTCAACCTATTTTTGCTCTTTCACACATCCACAATTCCGATACCCCAGCCTTTTCTTTAGGTTTATTTTCTTTGACATTTGCCCAAAATGTGGAGTTTGAATTGCGAGTAGGTGGTGGAAGGTTCCTTTGTGCTTGCTGCTGTCACTTTTCTACTGCCCATAGACAGGCAAAAGTGTAGTCAAGTTGATGCTTGCTCGTGAACAAAATAAAGGAGAATGAGATGGAATTTTGCAGTGAAGTTTTTTTACTTCCTTTGTCAATTTTATGATTTCCCCCACTCCCAACACACATATATTTCATCCTAAATGTTTCAGACCATCAAGAAAATGTTCGTAACTAACAAAGACAACCCAAGTAAATACAAAATGCAGTTCCCAAATGATTTTGGAAATAAATCCAAATCAGTGGGCTCACTGTAAAAAAATGCCCCTCCAGCCTATGAAATCATAAGTTAACTAATTTGCTAGTATTTGGAAAGCTGAGTTCGACTTCACCAACCCACAGCCAGGCCTGATGACCGCCAGATTTTTAAAATCACATATTTGGTCCATACTTAAAATGACATTTTTGTTTACATCTGCTGAAGAAGTGCGTCGTCTAAGTGGCCCCTCGAGTACCACTGATGAAAATTTGTCGCTCCACCCACTCCACCTGTATTTCTGATGCCCATCTCTGGCATACGACCTTTGTGCGTCATATCGATGGAGAGAAAAACAATGCTTTTAAAAGTACTGTTTAGTTGATGTTGCAATCAAGGGCTGCAAAAAATGAAGGCACAAAAAAAATTACAAAATGCTGAGATTTAATGATGATGGATAAAACTGAAAAATATGCCTAATAAGAATCCAAGCAGTTGAGGCTCACATGCAGCTACACAATCATTTATGTCCAAACGTTCTTCATACTGTATGCAAACAACACTTTAAAAATCTTGTATGATATCCTAAAAATATTTTTCTAATAGTTATACAACTACAATAAAGTAATGAAAGTTATACAACTACAATAAAGTAATGATTGTACACAGCAACAGTGATAATATGAGAAGTAGAATTCTTACGAGATTGATATTATGAGCTTGAATTCGTAATATGAACATCATAATTTTTACAAGAACTAGTGTATAAGTTAAAGTATAAAGTCGAAATATGAGAAGAATCAGATATGTAAAAAAGGCATTGATTTAGGATTTTTTTTTTTAATGTTCTTTTCAGGGTCCTAATACTACCTGACATGGCCACTCGATACTCATCACACAATGACAATACACATCTTGAACATTCATGCTTTTGTCTAACACACACACACACACACACACACACACACACAGTGCGTGCATGTATAGAGATAGATACATAAACCGTGACAAATGCGGCACAAACAAACAATAGCACACTTCTAATGGAACTTTGTTTTCCCCACACATTAAAACAACTCATATTCTAGTACCTAAGAGAGCATACATATTAAATACACAAAGACGTATAAAGGAATACTGTTAAAAAAAAGCATATAGCGACAACCAAAGTGCATTTGTAATTTTAAGCGCAACCGTCATATTTTTTTTCCTTCTTGAAATGCTTCTTAAAATCCTGTATATGTTTTAAAATGATGGAGGCTATGCTTTGGTTTTCACACCGGTACTCGCTAAAGCCAATATTTTATCTTCAGAACCTGGAAAAAGAATGATGCAAAAAATCAGCAAATGCAACTGCATTTCATTTAGAAGCATTATCAGTGTTCGTTTACTTACCTGTTGCCACTTTTTCAAACTGGCTCAAAGTAGCTGTGGCATTTTCTGCCAGGAAAGTTTCGTCCTCTATTGTGAGCTGTCAACAAATGAAGAATAGTCACAATGATGAGGCCAGGTTGACTCTGTTACTAGGTACGACACATTGAATGTGATTCTCGCAAGGATGAACATTTTATTTTTGTATTTTGTCCATTTGTAAAAAATAAAAATCAATTTATGATTACTATAGATATAGATATATATAAAGTTCAGGGACACCTGAACCGGTTGCCAGCCAATCGCAGGGCACACAGTGACGAACAAACTTTCACGCTCACACTCACACCTAGGGACAATTTGGAGTGTTCAATCAGCCTGCCATGCATGAATAACATGTTAAGATCTTTTTTTTGTTTTTAATCTTTTTTTAAATTAATTTTTTTAATACGGCCGGATTTTAGCAGGGTTTTTTTCTTTCCGGGGCGCCACCACTGCTCATTTTATTCACCTTCTCTCCTAGCTTCCTTAGTGCTGTGAGCACCTCCATCTTCTGCTGTGTGTACTCATCCCGAGACAGCTTCCCCACCATGACGTCACGGTCCATCTGTGCACAATAATGTCACAGGGCGTCAGAGGGGAAACCGTGCAAGGCAACAGCAAAACAAAAAAAACAATAATAAAATAAAAATACAGTTCCAACCTCTCCCAATCTGGTTCTGAGCTGTCCCGGCTGCTTCTTTGCGAAAAGTCGGATCACCTCTGGAGTTTTGAATGCTTGACTGATGGCAGCTTGGATGGCCTGAACAAAACACACAGGTAACGGACGGATCAATACTCCAGCTGAGCATAATAAGCCAATGATCATATAGAAGGCACGCATGTAGGTTTTTTTTTTTTTTTTGCAACCATAATGTGCATACACCGCACAGAGCAGGAGATATTAACTACAGTGAACAAAATATTTAATGTGTGAACGAGCACTTGATGCAAACAATATTAAGTCATGACACTCACCGTCTGGCATTTCGACAACAATAAATGTTCGGCAATATAAGCAAATTGGAACAACGAAGTAGACTACATGGGCTATTACACATTTCTTTGGGAAACGAGCAAAAACACACTTCCGGTTTTCGATTTTGACAGTCCTTGAGGGGCATTCAAGGACCACCAACAAAACATCTCAAAAACGCAGATGAATAAAACGCTATACATTAAAACAAACACCAAGATTGCACCAGTTGCTGCCAAAGTAATACTTTTTTTCCTTTGGCCTGAGCACAAAAATGTCTTTTTATTTATTTTAATTTTTTTATTTTCCTGTAGTCTGGATGCTCGGTGGCACCATGCTGCCTTTCATAGATCAGTTTTGGTAAGAACTGTGATGCATGTACGCCGCTTTAGTGAGGGCCATTTTGGTTGATTAGTGGTTCACCTCGCTGAAGTCACAAGACACAAGTTTCTGAGTGTGTCCGCTGCGCATACCAGCTGCATGCCGCTGAGTTCATCCACAAGAGTCATGTCTCCTGTCATGATCTTCTTCAGGGAGTCATTGAACTCACTCAGCTGCTCCAAAGTCTCCTTCTTTGTCTCCTCGTATTCTTCTTCGTCAAGCTCTTCCCTGGAATACATACATTGAGAAAGCAGGACTGTTTTATCTTCTAGCATCCATCAATTTTCTATGGTCTATGGCGCTTGTATTGATTGGGGTTCCAGATGATAAACCGAGTACACCCTGAGATGGTCGCAGGCAAGTCACCATTCGTTCCCACAACAGTCTTCAATGAACCTGCCGTGCATGTTTTGGGGATGTGGAAGGAAGCTGGAGTACAAGCAAACTCCATACAGGAAGGCCAGAACAGATTGCGAACACCAAACCTCACAAGTATGAGACAGACGTGCGACCGTGCAGCTGCTCCAGTACCGACAGCAGAAAATCAAACGTTTCGTGTTGTACTGTACTCTTATCTGCATTCCCCACCTGCATTCTTCCAGATCCTGCAGCTGCTGCATCAGTCTGTCAAGTTGCTCCTCCATATTCTGTCTCAGTTTGCCAGTTTCTGACTTTCCACGAGAAGCCATTCTCAACGCTTTCCAGCCCCCGAATCTGTTGTAACACAGGGTAGGGATGTGTTTATTACACGTCAAGTTAACCTGCAACAGGGACTATAGTTTGGATGAAGTACGCATTATAGATCTCGACACACTGTATCGACAAATCAAACTCAGGGATTTAACCAGTGTGTCTCTGTTGTGAGTTAGCCGAACAGACTGATAGCATGCTAAAAATGGGACAACGGCTCACAGGTGGAGGGATCAGTTAGTAAACACGTTGGATCCGTAGCGCGATTAACGTATAAAATTATCCATATCTTCCTTTTTAACGTGGCAAGTGAAACCCGATTTCTACTTCTCGACGCGGTCTAAACTATTACCCGAAGTGTTTGTTCTTGTGCGTTTCGTCGGTGTTTGTTTGTGATCGTGAACGCGGCTCAAAAACGTGGGTGCGGTTTTCGCGACTTCTTCCTCGTCGACTGAGCCAATCAGCTTTCAGAAAGGAACGCCTCTGCGTTACGTCATCCATAGATATTGTTTACACCGGACGTGCGCCTGACTTCAATAACGTTGTCTGGTAAAAACAGTACTTATAACTATTTTATTCACCATTCTTCTTATTCAAGTAATATTTACGCTTTCTCCGTATTTGCTCTTGGTGTATTTTTTAATTTGCCTCTACCGTGAGGTGCGGAGAAATAGTCGTTCTTGGTTAGGGTAGGAATTAAGCTAACATGCTAACGTTGGCGGTGTTTCCCATCATTGCTCGCTTGGCTAACCGAATATACCATAACTGACTAGGCGAGACGTGGGATACGCTCATAACTGGGCGTGTTTACGAACAACTTTTCATACACACGTTCACACCTATCAACAATTTCGAGTCTCGAATTAACTTAAAAACATTTATTTGGAATACGAAAGGAAGGCAAACCTGGAGAGAGAACATGCAAACCCAACACAGGAACCCGGAAGCAAGACTCGAAAACCATTCAAAGCTCAAAACTGTAAGGCAGACGGACAAACTTGGCACTGCATTGCCAGTTACAATTTTATGACAACAATTTTATGACATTCTAAAAATAAAATCAATCAAAAAAACTCATTTCAAGTTTTGTTAATTTCAGCAGAACACACTTCTGATCATTGTAATATGACATTGAAAAAAACAACAATCGTTCTTTTAAGTTAAAAAACAATCAAAGCTTTTGTAAATAATGTTTTTAAAGGCATAATTCCACACGACTGAAGTTGTATTTGTATGTGTTTAACTTCGTCCTTTACACTTTTAAAAACGTGTTTTTTAAGGGTTAATGTAATGAGACTCATCTGTTTTTTCGAGCAAAGGGGATATTGTGAAAAGGGGATATTGTGCGAAATCGTAGTTTCCCTTTTTGACTGAAAATGTTTTTGGCACTAGATAAAAAATCATAATGTTTGGCCATTAAGAAGTTATGATATTCCAAGATTTAAAATTTTTTTTTGACAGGATCCATCTCGTGCATGCATTTTCAGATTTACAGAATGTAAGAATGTAAATTATTAAACATCATTTTGTTTTGATTAACATTTTTTGTTAAACAATTCCATCAATACTTATTTATTATGTCAATGACTTAAGTATTAATCTACAATTTAGGAAATTTTTAAATAATAAAAAAACGTTTCCAAACTTTTGACTGCTACTGTATACCCTCTCAGAGGTATGAGATGTGTCTTGTTGTTCCAGACCTCCCAAAAAGTCATTCATTTAGACATTTCTGCTTTTCGATCAACCAACCTCCCGCGCTCGACCCATTTCCGCGTACGCGAACGCACATACGCACGCCATGATGAGTAACAGCCTGACACGGAGGCATGCGACGCACTTTTGCAGCCTGTTAACTATCATAGCTCACACGTACCGTTTTAAAGTGCTTCCCTCGGCCCTCTAGATTCCCATTCTTTGCCCGTCCCCTCAGTGAATTGTACAAAACAAACTCTGAATGAGAATAATGATAACGATAAAAGATATCGCGCAACAGCTCTAATCACAAGCTGCAATTGCAGACTACTGAGCGCTAACAACTTCCGCTGACGCAGGTCACGCGCCACCGTAGGTTAAAGATTTACCTGCTTTATTTATTTTATTTTTTTATACTTTTTGTGAAAATGAGACTGATAGCATGATGAGGGTGCAGTGTACATTAACACAAAAAGATATATTACTAACATGCACAAAGACACACAAATGTTTGTTTGTTTTTTTTCTCCTCGACACCCCTCGCGATCGACTTGGGACCAGTCCACGATCTACAGGTCGATCGCCATCAATGTAATGGGCACCCCTGCCTTAGATCCTCCACAAGCTCCAAAATTACATTGCTGAATAGAGAACAGGTTGTGATCATTCATGTTTTTGCCATTTCAAAAAGTGTAAAATTTCGCAGGACTGTATTTTCTGCACTAAAAGGCGCACTGGAGTATGAGGCGCACCTTCAATGAATGGCCTATTTAGGATTTTTTTTTCATATATTAGACCAGGGGTGGGCAATCCCAGTCCTGGAGGGCCGCTATCCTGCATGTTTTCCATCTGTCCCTTCTCCAACACACCTGATTCAAATGATCAGATCATCAGCAAGCTCTGTCGAGGCCTGAACAATTGAATCAGGTGTGTTGCAACAGGGACAGATGGAAAACATGCAGGATAGCGGTCCCCCAGGACTGGGATTGCCCACCCCTGGGCTAGACTATCCCTTTCAGGGACAGCGGTTACTACAGTGGAAAGCTTATCAGGTTATCAGGTTACAGGGTGCATGAAAGGGCGAAAGACAAATAGAAGAATCTTAAAATGTACGGTTATACGTCAATGCTGAGTACGGATTGCACCATGATAACGGAGGGTAGCGCAACTCATTCATAAGTCACTTTTCCAAAGTCTTAACACCTTGAACAACTTTCATCATTTATGTTCTGTATCTCCTCAGGCATCACCACTCAGAACTAACAGCAGCCAAGCAAGATGCTGATGATGTGGACACAGTCAAGTATGCGAAAAAGAGACGCATTGAGGAGAATCATGTTGAGAGTGCATCATATCACAACAAAAGAGGTAGGTTATTATACAGACCATTCCATTGTGCTCGTTTTATTGGGCCTATTTGATGCCAAATCAACAATGAATGGATAAGTGCGTGGCCAAATATGTGTGTAACCAGTGACAGATATGGCCAACTTGCGTGGCGGACACAACACAAAACAAGTGCAGTGTGGAAGGCCCCTTATCCCACCTCACCTCAGGTGGAAGGTGGACTCACCCTTAGGCTGGCCGCCAATCAACCGCAATGCACACGCTTGCATTTCCAGCATCGCTCACTTGGAATTGAATGCTGTCTGCATGAAAGTCAGGCAAAAGACCCGCATTAGTTACACTCTAGGTGACGTCTATATTTTTAAGTAATATAATAAAACACTACATCATTTGGACGTAAGTTCATAATCATAAAAATGGAAAGTACAAAGCAATTTATTGATTTTATTAGAGCCCTCCTTATCATTAATCCACATCAGTCAAATTGTAGTGCACCCTCTTCCACCTTCAAAAGCAAAGCTGCAGTGTATAATATTTGCAAAAAAAAAAAAAAAACACCCATCCATCCATTTTCTACCTTGTGACTGATGGTAAGCGATGGTTGCCCACGTTTCGCTGTATTTTTAGATGAGGTGTTTCTTTTCATTTTCCAGGTGATGTGTGACAACATCACATGCTTGTGAGCGCCTGCCCTAAATTGCCACAAAAGCCTGAACCTCTAATTGACCCATCAGTGCCCCTGTATAGTCTGTATAGTCTTCCCAACACTTCACTTTCTCCATTTTCTGACACACACACACACACACACACACACACACACACACACACACACACACACACACACACACACACAGAGAGAGAGAGAGAGAGAGAGAGAGAGAGAGAGAGAGAGAGAGAGAGAGAGAGAGAGAGAGAGGTGGGCAATGACTGTGTGTGTGCGTGTGTGCGCATGCCTGTGTGTAACATTTATTTTTAATACCAAAGCAAAAAACAAAACAAAAAAAAAACATTCAATGTAACCAAACCATCCACTCAAATTGCAGAAGCAACTCAGCTGATGCTGCTTTGCGGTGCTGATGTCCTCGAGTCCTTCGGGGTCCCCAACTTGTGGAAGGAGGAGGACATCGCCGAGATCGTGGGCCGCTTCGGCCTAGTGTGCATCACGCGTGTTGGTGCCGACCCCCATAAGTTCATCAACCGGTCGGACACGCTGTGGAAGTATCGCAAGAACATCCACGTGGTGCCCGAGTGGGTGGCCAACGACATCTCTGCCACGCATGTGCGCCGGGCTCTGCGTCGCGGTCAAAGTGTTAGGTACCTGCTGCCAGACGACGTGCTTCGATACATACACGCCAACCATCTCTATAGTGCCGAGAGCGAGCAGAGCAACGCTGGTGTGGTTCTTGCACCCCTGCAGAAATATGCAGGTGACCCCTCCGGTTAAAAACCTTTGCAGTGAACGGACACTATTTATTGCAGCTTTGACGAGTGCCTATTCCATAACATCTTTTGATTTGGGCATTTTTCAAAATTAAATTTCCCATTGAGATCAATTTTATTTGGGATATGATTCATACCAAAGTCCAAACTTTCATCATCATTTTACCTTCAATCATTGTACAGACAATAATGAATTGTTCATGAACAAATGGTAACAGAGATGACTGGTCATTACATCCCTGATGGACCGCACACATTATTTTGATGGATTGGCCTGGCACTTATTTTCAGTCGAAATGGAATAAAACAGCCACCTATTTTTTTCAACTTGGAAAAAGTGTTTTATGTTATTGAAATGCATCAAAACTACTAATTTCAGCCATTTCTTAAATTTGATTGAACGTTGTTTGGCTGGGGGGGCAACTGGGTCATGTAGTCATTAGCTCCTCTGCCCACAGTCCTGAGGTTCAGGGTTTGAATCTCTACCCCGGCCAGTGTGGTGCTTGCATGTTCTCCCCGTGCTTTGTGTTTTTTTTTTTTTTCAGGTACTTCAGCTTCTTTCTAACTTCCAAAAACGTGCGTGTTGAGGTCATTGAAGGCTCTAAACTGTCCATCCTGTAGCTGTGAATTTGAGCATGAATGGTCGTTTTGTCTATCTGTGCCCAGCTGTGATTGGCTGACGTAGATCAATTGGGATACCTTCCAGTTTACCCACATTTTTTTTTAAATGTAATTTTTTTACTGATTACATTCCAAAGAGGTGAAAAAAAAATCAACCAATTGGTGTTCTATTATTCGAACCAAGTGTCACCTTGTGAGTTGATTTTGACATCTGTCAATGTCTGTGACCTGCTTCCTGCATAGCTGCAGAGAGGAGGAAAAAAAACACGAAGGTGTTTGTTTTTGAAATCTGCTGCCTCAGTTCATGTCCGTGACAGTCAATATTTATTTCTTTTGGGGGCCTTTAAAGGTGGGTGTGTCTCTTCCACCCACGTCATGGACAAGAAAACAAAAGTGCATTCCGTACACTTTGGGCCTTCAGCCAGCCAAAACATTTATCTTCTGCTGATAACAAGTAATGAGTGCTTATGTCTAGTTGTAGTTACAGCCATTTTTCCCCCCTCATCATATATTATCAAAATATGTGGCTTATGAAGACATGTCCGTGAGTGCCTGCAAAATTTTGCCACAAAACCATTGATGGCTAATTGACCTACTTAATTGGACCAGTCGAACTTGCCTCCCATGAGCGTCTCCCTTCTTCACTGAGCTGCCGTAAGGACACACCCACTCTAATACCGCCAGTTACTGAACGAAATTCTTTGTCTTTTCGGAAGAAGTCTTTGAATAAGTAGCTTCAAACCTGCTCCAGCGTTTTTTTTTTTATTTTTCGACTGCATTAAAAGGCTCACCAAGAATGCCTGCAAGTTTCTGTGGCACTTGGGACATGCTTAGCAATGACAACTTTGAAGGCTACATGATTGCATTAGGTAAGATACCTGGCTCAAATATCTTCTTGTTATTGACTGCTGAGGTTTTTGATTTTTTTTTTTGTCTGGCACTGATGTTTGTTGAGTGAGCCTTTTTAAATGTGATTGTTTAGCCTGTACAATATCTGTACAGTATATGGGTAAATATACTGGGACACCCGGCCAACCCACATGCAGAAAGCGAATCTATGTACTCTCGGGGAAGACTTTGCAAAATTTCTGCGTCTGTGTCTATTTTCGAGTGCTTTCCAAAGGTGTTTGATGGAGTTCCTCCACACAAACTCATCCAAGTATGCCTTTGTGGACCCTAATTGGGTCATGCCGGGGGAAAAAAAAAGACCCTTCCCAACCACCAAAATTATTTTTTAACTCAAGGGGAACTGAAGCAATTTGGGCGGGGAATGTATCTCCATGCAACCTCGTATGAGTTTGTGGGAACTCAAAAGTGTCAGTGACACAGGTATCTCATTATTGCATTTCTGCCGGGACAGTGTCAAGCCAAACACGAGCCAAATTTCACTGTCAAGCTCCGTACATTATTTTATTGACCTGTGAAAAACCCAAAATGAACGTCAAATGACCACTGACACCAAATTGATTGTTGATTGGAGGGAATTATTTCTGAACACTTCCAAATACAAGTCAGTGCACAAAAACCTACAGCCTTCTGCTCGACAGAAAAAGTACAGTACTTAAAATCCTGGAACGTATTCAGGGTTCATTACAGGCACTTTATATGATGGCATGTGTGTGGTGATTAATTAAATACGAGTTTGAACCTGACTGGTTATTTCTGAACACAGCCACATCCGACTTCGAAGCGGTTACGCACATCTGTGTAACCACATAATCTCAGTTATTTTTACTCCGCCTCTTGAATTTTTTTCGTTTTTTGTTTTTTTCCCAATTGAGTTGGACAGGTTAAATGCGACATTTGTGGTGGAAAAGGTTTTTAAATGCTTAGTCTTGGTCTCATAGTCTATCACACAAACCTGGCATTTAAACACTGGTGTAAAGACTTTATTTCAACTGTAATAAGCGTGATAGCCCCTCTAGACAGTTATTCTTGATAAACGCCCCTTGGACAATAGAAATAAACGAGACAGCATATCATGAAATAATGACACAGATGTGTCATTATCTATATATTATACAGGTATAATATATATTATAATAATGTGGCCTAGTTTTAGTAAGGCCTAAAAAGTGTGTCCCAGTATGTTAGTCCACTGCATCTATTAACACATGCCCACCTTCCCCAGATATCAGCCCTTGCATTCGAAAGATCGCCCTGAAGCTGAAGATAAGAAAGTTGATAGAACACCAGGGCGACCAGTACATCATCAAAACATGCAGCATCTTCAGGAACTACACCGTGTCTTTCCAAGTGGGTCAGGAATTTGAGGAGTTCTCGGAGGGGTTAGACAACAGGCACATGAAGGTGAATCCGAGTGAACGATTTTGCAATGCATTTTGGTGAGCTGTCTCATTTTTCTCTTGCGCCGTGCAGTCTGTGGTGAGGTGGGAGGGGAACAAGCTGGTGTGCGAACAGAAAGGTGAGAAGAAGAACAGAGGGTGGTGTCATTGGATAGAAGAGGACAAGCTTCACTTGGTATGACTTTGGCGTCACACAAAGCAACTGTTACAATTCATGTTGTACTATATCTTATTTGCTTCATCTACAGTAGACAGTGATCGCGTTTATTAATGTGTACATTATTTACTGAGAAGAATTGTAAGGAATCTTGTCGTGTCAACAACATTGAAAAGTGACTTCAACACCTTTACCTGGAACTCGACCAAATGTAATGGTTTCATTGCGTCGAGCCCCACCCCTTTACGCAATCTCTTTTTGTAGCTACTTGTACTGTACTGTATATAATAGTTCACCAACTATGACCCAAAGCAACAATACCGGCTTTTATGAATAAAATGTTACATTATGTCATTTATGGGGCAGCACGGTGGAGCACATTTGCCTCACATTTCTGAGGTTCGAGGCCCAAATCTCATTTTGGGTCTTCCTCCATGGCGTATTCCGGCTTCCATTCCAAAACCATGCATGTTAGGCTCATTTAAAGACTCTAGTTTGCTCATTGGGATGATTGGTTGTTTTGTTATTTATTTACACCCTGTTTCTCAACCATTGTCAGCTGGGTTAGACTCCAGTGCAACCACGTCCCTAATGAGGAGAAGCAATGTATGAAGTGACATAGATCAATTCTGCCACCTTAAATTAATTGTTCTTCTTCTGGAGTTCTAACCCCCCTCCCTCCACTCCCCCTCATTATTTGTTAAAAGACGAAAAAAGCAATCGTCCTTGGATCGCTTCTTTACAAAACGCTAGGCAAAAAACACTTCTGAGAGAAAGCATGAAGTAAAGAGGGCAAAAAAACCCGATGAGGACCCAGTTCAGTTAAATGACCATCATTTTTATTATTTACTCTATTCTTAGTTTTTTACATTATGCACAACTCTCATTTCTTGCGCAACAATCTAATTGTAACATGTATTTCTTACATATTTTGATAAATTTCTATGCTTAAGGAAACATACATTCATTCATTCATTTCCCTAACCGCTTAATCCTCACTAGGGTCGCGGTTTAAGAAAACATTTTTGTCTGATTTTTTTTGGGGGGGGGCAGGGGGGGGGGCTTGGAACGAATTAGGGCATTTACATGGAAAACGCGTCTCTACTTACAAAATGTTCTAGTTGAGAAATTTCTTCCAGAACCAATTCATTTCGTCAGCAGAGGTACCACTGTATTACGAAATGTAATGTCATCTTCTTTTCATATATTCAGGAGCTTTATTGTGAAGGGGAAATCTGCAAGCAGGTGTTCAAGAAGGTCAATGACTGAAAAGGACGACAACTGTAAAAAAATGGACATTACAAGAAAGAAATTCTCTCTCCTGTGTGAGCTGTATGGGCATAAACTACGCCACTAGAGAGCAGTACAGCAACATGACAGCTGTACGTATGGTACAGTAGTTACGGTGCATGCTGTTGTTTACCACTGCATCAAGTGTGTTCAGCTCATGAGGGACAAAAAGAGCATTTTATGTTTATTTATACATTTCTCCATGTGTTTGTAATTTGATTGTATAACTGTGGTTAGTCTTTTAGACATATACGTGGGCATTCGTGTCACCTGAAATTAAGGAAATCAATTTAAAAAACCAAACCAACGTTATTGATCTCTGTTGGAAAACTTCATTTCCGCTCAAACCAACGATTGGGCCAAGTATGGCCCACGGGCCATGACTGTCTCAATATGCTAATCTGGGACGTTGAAAATAGGGGTGTCAAGCTGTTTTTTTTTGTTTTATTTTTGCGGGCTACACCACAGTTCTGGTTTCCGTCAAAGGGCCGTTATGACTGTGAACCCAAATAAATGTCTGATCGCCTCATTACATATTCATCCATTTTAAACCCCACTTATCCTGTTCATCAAATTGATGAATAACTAGTTTTGAAATCAGAGGCCAGTAAAATCTGTTTGTTCAAATATTATTATATTTATTTTATGAGCAGAATTGATGACAATAATGCTTGTAATATCTCAACGTTTTAAAAAAATGAAGACCATTTCCAATGTTGGTATTACTGCAAGAAATTGATTGTTATACAAATAAATAATACAATCAAAATATGAGCATTAATTATTTTATTTTTAAAGTGTAGTATTTGACTTTTGTAACTTTCGTTACCTCATCTACAAATGACTCACCTGTGCCATTTTATATCTGTAAACCGAGTGTGCCAACGCTTCGTATGTTGCTCCGCCCACTGTGATGTGAGAGTCACGTGACAGCAGTAGAACCAAAATGGCCGCTGTTGTCTTTTGACGTGTAATAGCTAGCTACTTTTCTTTTTGTTTCACTATTGACTTGAAAGAAAAGCCAAGCCAACGACGGACTTTTTGGGCTCACTCTATGCCGCCAGTTCTTGCGCAGTAGTGTCATCATTTTTATCTTCGAGACAATCAAGACTGACACATATTAGTTGAACGAGTTAGACTATGCATATCTAGTTCAGATTGAGGCTAGCTAGCAGGCTCTGGCTGGCACATAGTGTAATAGTTGAAATTGAGATAGCTGGTTAAACTTTTAGCTGCGATGGAGGAATTGAGCGCAGATGAGGTAAGTAAAACGCATCAACGACACTAGCTCTTGTATGGCTTATCTTGCATCACTCTATCGTTTCCAGATAATAGATTTACACATGACTCAGTTTCCTCGAATCGGGTTAGCGGCTAGCTTCGTGCCACTCTACCTGGGAGAAAAACACCGGCGACAAAACCATAGCTTGGCAATATCACACGAGACGTGGAAAATCAGCGTCTGTCATTGGTGTGTGTTTGTTTGCATGAGCACTATACGGTCGGAAATGAAGCAGCTAACCCAATGCTGACATCACACAAAACCAGGTCCCCGATTAAGAGGATTTCAGTAAAAATGAACACAATTGCTTTGAAAAGTGGCAATTGCCTCATGTTTGCCATGCAAATCATATTTTGTATTTGCTCTCGCGCCCGATTTTAGGATTGCTGAAATTGCTCGCCTTGTTTTGCTAACCGAATAACCATCCGAATCAGTGACCTTTTCTTTGAGATGAACACACAGTATACAGTATCGTGGTCATTGCAATGCGACTCAATTTTGACATCAAATCAATTCCTCAGTGCTATTACTCTCCAAAAAAAGCGATCGTTCACATTAGCATAGCGGAGTTATTTAGTAATAATGTATTTCAACAATACTGTAACCTATTCAAGCATGATTTTAAATGGGCATCAACTGTGAACAGCCCAAATAACAATTTGTGTATTTGTGTTGAACTTTTTTGTATTTTTTCACTGTTCATGCAAGATTCGGCGAAGGAGATTGGCACGGCTGGCAGGGGGACAAACGTCACAGCCTAACACCCCTCTCAGCACCCCGTTGACATCCCCACAGAGAGAAACTCCACCGGGACCACTCCCTGGACCCTCAGGTGTAACATCTCAGCCCCTGCCACCAGCTGCCTCACAATCATTAGGGCTCAATGCGCACAGCGGTACCCCTGCCACATCCCCCATTGGCACGACTGGTAAGGAAAAACTTGACTGAGAATACTTGAATTTTTGTCTCCTCTCATGTATAGGACTTCTGGATTTTAACGGTTTGTCGTATCTTGTCTGAAATATTTCCTCCTTGTGTCTTCAGTGTGCTCACGCGTGTTTTGCCTTTTGCAAGGTGTGGCTTATGGCAGTCAAAGTAGTGAAGGTGTGAGCTCCCTTTCCAGCTCCCCCTCCAACAGCCTTGAGACTCAGTCCCAGAGTTTGTCCCGTTCACAGAGCATGGACATTGACACTGCATCTTGTGAAAAGAGGTAATCATATTTCACAATGGTTTGCCCTGAAAAATGGCTGTGAATGGACAAGCTAGCTTAAGATATTTACATGTTACAAAATACTTAATGAAACTGTGCCTGTGTTTGGTTCTAGCATGTCCCAAGTGGATGTCGACTCTGGGATAGAGAACATGGAGGTGGAAGATGGCGACCGCAGGGAGAAGAGGAACTTGACAGAAAAAGTAATTAACTTTTTCTTACAAGGGATTTGACTTTACATCAGTGCTCGCTTATAAACGCAGGAACATTCTGTGCTTAACATAACTGAAACTTGAGCTTTTCTTGGTAAACATAAGAACAATTTTCAGAATCGCACTCAATTGTGGCAGGGTACTTGTGAATATGTGAAGTTTTTAATACCGGTACATATTTTAATCTGGGGTGCGTACACCTTTTTGCAATATTAAATGAATTTGGTTTTAGCACATCTGCCCGAACAGTACTGAGATTGAGACTTACCTGTGCGGACTTTGCATGTTCACCCTGTACTTTGCTTGGATTTTCTGTGAATGCTCTGGCTCCTTCCCACATTCCAAAAACATGTTTCTTAGGTTAAGTGAAAACTGAAAATTGTCTGGCAGTCTGAATGTGACTTTTAATGGTTCGTCGTCTATATCAGCACTGTGATTGGCTGGCGACCAGACCAGGGTGTTCCCTGACTCTCGCGCATACTGAGCCATGGAAAATATAGATCTTGAAAGTAAGGTTTTCTAATAAATCTGTAGGGGGTGTCCTTATGGTAAGCACTATACATAACATCCGTTCCTCAACCATGGCCCCTGCAAGAGCTTAAAATGTCCACTGTCAGATCTTGACATCTCTGTCTGATTGAACCTGGGCATCTGTAGGAAACGTCTGCAAACTCCGATGTCACAGAAGACCAGGCTCTGCAGCTCATTTGTAAGATCCTGCGCGTTTCATGGACAGAGCAGCATCGAGATGTCATCTTCCTCCCTTCACTGGCTGCTGAATTCCAGCGTAACCCAAGAGATGGTATGTCAAGTCATGCTGTGTTAATCTAAAAAAAAAAAAAAAAAAAGCTGCTCAGAGTGGAGCTCTGAAAAGCTTATTTTTTGATTCTGTCTCCTGCAGTGTACTCTGATTTCAAAGACCTGATTGGCCAGATCCTAATGGAAGTCCTCATGATCTCAACGCAATCGCCTGTCCACAACCCCTTCGCCAGCTTGACCGCCACCTCGCAGCCCATTGCAGCAGCCAAATCTCCGGACCGCCACCTGACATTGGTACAACCCTCCAGCCAAGATGGTAGCCCCATGGGCCCCAGTGCAGGATCCTTTGGAGCCAGCTCTCTTTCAAGGCAAGTGATGACGCTTATTTTTTTTCTTGCATTGTTCAAAACCCTTAATCGCATCAGAGCTGTTCTTTTCCCCAATTTTTTTGTGAAGGACTTGGAATTGCTCAAGTATTCCAGGTTTATTGTGATTATTTTTCGACATTGTCATGGCAATCATCATGTGATCAATATTGTCCACAGCCTATATGGGTGTGGTAGCCCTTACCCAATGAGTGTGGATGCAGCCAAGAGGATCTCACCAAATGTCCCCACCCCTGCCACTCCTTCTGTACCTTCTACACCATCTACGCCACAGTTTGTTGTTCCACCCAGCCCACCTACTCCCGCTGCTCCCCTCAGACAGTCCCTCAACCCTCCATCTGCCCCCATGCCCATCTCCCAGCGTTACCGGCCCTACTCTGTCTCATCTCCCTGGGGAGCCCTGTCCCCAACTAGCCCAGGACAAAGAGCTTTTAGCTTTTTTGCACCTTCTCCTAGCCCAACGGGCCCCACTGTGCCCCCCAATACACCAGTTCCTCTGCCAACATCTAGCACCTCGTCCCTTTCTTTAAGTTCCCCCCCTATGGTTCCGCCATCTCCCAGAACAAATGCCCGACAGTCCGCCTTTGCATCACGGATCCCACCTTCTAGGTATCTTACCATTCCATTTGCATGTCTGTGTGTTGCACACGCACGCCAGCCAACTAAAATATTAACCCTTTCTGACTCACCAAATTTCGAGCTGGAAATGGACCCAAACACAAACGAACTTTTAACACGCAGGTGTCAAACTCAAGGCCCGGGGGCCAGATCTGGCCCGCCACATCATTTTATGTGGCCCGCGAAAGCAAATCAACAATGTCAACTTTCATGATGCTTGCTAAAATCTCAACCAAAATTTCAAATTCTCATTTGTAATAAATACGAGTGGTACTGTAAGCATTTTCTTGTTACCAAACCCCTCATTACAATAACTTAAACAATAGGTGAATAAACCGTTCTTGTTGACTTCTTCATATGGTTTCAGTCATTACGGCCCTCCGAAACAAACTCTTAACTAAAATCTGGCCCGCGACAAAAATTAGTTTGACACCCCTGTTTTAACAGATTGAGTTTGATCGTTACTTCACATTGGAGTTGAACCCTGAGCAAGTCAAGATAGGATACCCAAAGAATGGATGGGCATTTTAGTCAATTGGTTTACACGTTTGTTGTGGTTGAATTACTTGTTATTTATCGTGTCTTGAAGAAAGTCAGGCAAGCCTTTGCAAAAGTTTGGCGTCTCAAGAAGGACAACATGATATCACGTCATTATAGCGAAGGTCTGAATCCACGCAGAACTCTGCTCCAGCATACATTTAGCTGCTTAATGTGTAAAACATTCAGAGGGAGAGATTGTTTGGATTTGTGTTACAATAAAACAATAAAATAGCCGGTCAAGGGAATCTAGTGTTGTATATCCATCCCTACTTTATATTGGTAACTTTTTATATTTAAAGTATTATGGTTTTGACAACAAACGCTGCTTTTAAACATCCTTTGTATTGGTGACCAAAAAAAAAAGAAACTAATGGCTTTGCAAATAACTCTTGAGATTTGCCAGACGTGCTTTATACGGTCAACAATGATGTAGATTTCTCAAGCATGCAAAAAAAAAAAATCTCCTTCCTTGCAGCTCTGAACTACCATCGCTGTATGAGGAATGAATGTTCCAGCAATGCATCAACACTACAACCAAATGTGCATTCATTAAATACAATTAGCCCTCAAGCAGACATGCAACCAACTGCGTACTTTGCTGCAGTAGTGCCCCCCCTCACCACCCCATCTTATGTTCTACCCTTCCAAATGTAGTCTTCAGTTTTCATCATCTCCTTCCCCTCGCTTGCTCCTCGATAGCCTTTCTCTTCCAACCTTGACCTCACTCCTGTCCTTGTCTTGTGTCATGTTAGTCCCTTGTCCCTCCTGTTTGCCCTCTCTGACATGTCTCAGGACAGCAGCGATGAAGAGTCTGAGGAGGAGGAGGATTTTGCGCGGGTTCAGTTTGGGTCCAGGTACATCGCTGCACGGTGTGCGTGTGTTTGCGTGTGCCTGCTTGCTCAGCAGAGGCCTGCTGCATGCACCGGCGGGCCTTGCCACTAACAGAGCACAAACACACTGTGGCGCAGTGGTGAGAAATTAACATAGGCAGGCTCGGATCTCTTTCAGAGTGCTTTATGTGTTTATACACAGTTTTACCTTTGACGTTGGATGTGTGCTCTATTTGGATGTTTTTAAAGTAAAATCTTGTTTCTGATAAGTTTTTACACTGTTACGGATGAATTATGCCGATGTAGTATGGTGGAAAAAGTGTTTAGCACGTTTGCCTTACAGTTCCCATCTGTTGTTTTAGATTTTCATTTTAATGCAAGCACCTATTGTCGCAAAATGTCTCCTCATGTGTGTGCATGTCAAAGGTGTTGATGACTCTGGTTGATGATGCAAAGTGATCCTGAACATTTGGCTGGTGCTGCTATGAGGGCAAATCAGGAAGTCATTATTCAGGACAACCGAGCCAAACATGATTTAACATCTTGTGCCATGTTTTAATCGGATGTATCGCTGCGTCTGCGTTCCTTAAATATTTAAAGCTAGCGTTTCTACTTTCTGAGGGTCTCTTCTGTGCTTTGAAGACACTCACGTACACCGGTTGTGCTGTTGCAGCTGACCACTAATGGCCTTTGCATTAGCAATGACAATCCTCCCACCAACTGAATAATAACAGCTGTTGTGTCTGCAATGGTGTTTCCTTTACATGAGCCACATGCTGTGGTGCAGTCACTAAAGCCTCAAGTGTGTTTCTTTCAGGAGCTGTGATTGAGAGCTGGCGCTTGTTGGAAGCTAACTGCACATGTCGAGCAGTCTGGTTATCCTTCATGTCATTGTTGCGTGCTTCATTCCTTCTGTTTGTGTTTGTTTAGTCGCGGTGCATGTGGAGGGTCAGTGTCTTGTGATTTGGCCGGCGATCGCTTCACCATTGAAGCATGCAAGGAGACCGAGATGCTGAACTACCTCATTGAACGCTTTGACAGTGTTGGCATGGAGGAGAGAAAAGCTCCTAAGGTATTTGGAGAAGACAAATTACAAGTACGGCCTTTTAAAACCTGTGCTGGGTTCTTTTTTTTTTTCTTCTTTCCTTTCAATATTCAAGAAAGCCAGTCAGTTTATGTAAATCCGAAGGCATTCATTTTGACACTTGCGATTTTACCTCTTCTCTCTTTACTTTCCCTCAGATGTGTAACCAACCAAATGTCAGCCAGCTTCTTAGCAACATTCGCTCTCAGTGTATCTCTCACATTGCCCTGGTCCTGCAAGGCTGTCTGACCCAGCCCAGGTAAGTTTTTCCGGACCGTTTTATGTCTTTGTGCCACAGTATTTTAGTTTCATCAACTAATACTGCCCTATTCGTGTTTAGTACCAACAGTACCTTCAGGGTCGGTCTTTTGAATTTGGCCCATTTGTCAAATTTAAGGATGCATTCAACTAGTGAAACCCAATCATTCCTTAATTCATTGCCTTGATTTAGAACCCTTAGCATGGGGATACATACTCATCAAACAGCAAAATGGTAATGTTCTTGAATGTATCTCTGAATATGAAGGGACATTTTGTCCCACGCTGCTCTTCCGCTGTCTCCATAGCGACTCCTCTTCCCCCTTCTTTCAGATACATTACTCCAGTATTTGTACAACAATGCTTGGTTTGTCTATGTGGTTGGTACATGCAGGAGCCCTCTCCAGCATTCTCTGCTGGTACCTTATATGCTGTGCCGGAACCTCCCGTTTGGCTTCATCCAGGAATTGGTGCGCATTACCCACCAGGAAGAAGAAGTATTCAGACAGGTGTGACACACATTTGCCAGTTTGCACTCCATAACTCTATTTTCCAGTATGTAGCGGGAACGCACGAATTCAGGTAGCTCATTACGTGATGACCATGTTCTCTTTGGCTTATATTTCAGTGAAATGTTGACATGATTATCAGATTCGCCGCTGTCCATGAGTTAAATTGTGGAAGTTAACAGTCATGACAAGTTTACTCCCATCTTTCTCAGATCTTCATTCCCATCCTCCATGGGCTGGGTCTCGCGGTGAAAGAATGCTCCTTTGACAGCGACAACTTTAAATTCCCCCTTATGGTACGTAGTTGCTGTCATGCTATAGTCTGGCTAAAGGTCTAAATTGGCATGATGACCACGTGGCACTGGAAGCTTGACAAAAAAAATAAAATAAATAAAGATACCCTTGGCTGCTTTTTCTTTATTTGACCTGAAATTCATGTTACTGTTGAATGGAAAATCATTGTTTTGTACCTTGTAGTCATGAAAACAGGTCAAGTTAAGTCAAACGTGTGCTTGTTTCCATTATGTTTCTCCTGTTTTTGCAGGCTTTAGCTGAGCTTTGTGAAATCAAGTTTGGAAAGACTCACCCTGTGTGCAGTTTGGTGAGTGCACAGCTCAGTCGGCAAGCGTTATGTCCTTGTTGCTCACACCATTCTATTCATGTATTTGTGAGGTCACTGGGTTCCCCTCAAATATTTCCTTGAGACATGAGCGGAAGGATCAGGCTCTTATGTCTTCTGGCCCCCTTCCCTCCTGTTCTTACTTGTTCTCCAAATCAGTCCTTCAAACGACATCGTCCTTCAATGGAGTCTTCTTTTCACACTTCTTCTTTTGTCTTTATAATCCTTCAAAAATATGCCCAAAAAATGAATTCTTTCCACAGGTGACGTCACTTCCTCTGTGGTGCCCCAAACCTTTGAGTCCAGGATGTGGCAGAGAGATTCAGCGGTTGTCCTACCTTGGCGCTTTCTTCAGCCTCTCTGTGTTTTCTGAGGATGACGTAAGTACTCTGCTCATCCATTTAGAGCCGTTTTCATTTCCAACTCTTATTGCGCTACAGCAATGCAAATCTTATACGAGTGCCCGCGACACATTCACACAGATGACTAAAACCACACAACAATGAAAACCAGTACAACGTGCATGTTTACAGCTATCTAACGTCTTGATGCTTTCCATTTCCTTCAGATCAAAGTAGGAGACAAGTATTTCTCTGGTCCAGCTATCACCATGGAGAACACGAGAGTTGTCAGTCAATCCCTGCAGCACTATCTGGAGTCGGCAAGGGTGAGCTTCTGCCTCAAATTGCTGTCATCCCCCAGATGACGTGTTGAATATCCCTGTTATGAATAAATTATCTTCAGGGTGACCTGTTTAAAGTTCTTCACAACATCCTACTAAATGGAGAGACGCGAGATTTAGCCCTCAATTACATGGCAGCTTTGGTCAACTACAATGTGAAGAAATCTCAGATGCAGGTAGGAGTCATTTTATTGGTTCTCTTCCACATTTTTACCATTTGATATTGCACTCACCTCAATATGTACACTTGCACAATCTATGACATCCAATACAAAGTTTGTGTCACGTTTTCAGTTTTTTTTAAAGATAATAATTCATGATCGATTGATTGATTTGAAACAGTAAGTTATTTTAATATGTTTGTCTTGTGGTTATAAATGTTTGTGGTGTAAAAAAAACACCTCACTCTGATGTCTTCTCTATTTAGGTTACCCGCTGCTAACTACAACCGCAGTCCTATAAACACTGTTAAAAGAAGACCTCAGACAGACTAGGAATTTAATATGAATTTGTTGCTCCTCCTCCCTCTCAGACCGATGACAAGCTGGTGTCGACAGACGGTTTCATGCTCAACTTCCTGTCAGTGCTGCAGCAACTCAGCATGAAAATCAAGTTGGAGACGGTGGATCCCTTCTACATTTTCCACCCCCGTTGTCGCCTTGTCGTCAGCCCAGAGGAGACACGCCTGAAGGCCACGATGGAGGAGCTCAAGAGCTGGCTGTCTGAGCTACGTGAGTTGGCCTTTGCTTGGTAGGATTAGACGAAAATAATGTCAAAGAAAATATCAAATAAACACTGTATACGTACGGGCGGCCCGGTGACCCAGTGGTTAGTGCGTCGACCTTACAGTGCAGAGGTACCGGGTTCGATTCCAGCTCCGGCCTTCCTGTGTGGAGTTTGCATGTTCTACTTGGGCCTTGCGTGGGTTTTCTCCGGGTACTCCGGTTTCCTCCCACGTTCCAAAATCATGCACGGCAGGCTGATTGAACACTCTAAATTGTCCCTAGGTGTGAGTGTGAGCACGGATTGCTGTTCGTCTCTGTGTGCCCTGCGAATGGTCCTACTGCCCGAAGACAGCTGGGATAGGCTCCAGCATCCCCCGCGACCCTTGTGAGGATAAAGCGGATCGGAAAATGAATGAATGAATATACAGGAAATGATCCATTAACTGCATTTGTTGCATTGGGATTTTTCCATTCTTTGTTGCATGTCGCCCAGGCTATCTTAAAGTAAATCCCCACTGTGAGATTAATTTAAGCATTTGTGTACGTGCGTTTGCTATCTATATATCCAGATGAAGATACCATCAAATTCTCCGAGCCAAAGTTCCCCACAGAGTGCTTCTTCTTGACCCTGCACACCCACCATTTGTCTATCCTGCCTGGCTGCAGGCGCTACATCCGTAGGTTGCGGGCAATTCGTGAACTCAACAGGTAAACAAACGCGAATGCGTGTCGTGTAACTATAATTGTCTCGGTGTTCTGTTCTTTTCACGCTATTTTTATTTGTTGTACCTTATTAGGACAGTCGAAGAGCTGAAAAATAGTGAAGCCCAATGGAAGGACTCTCCTCTGGCCAGTCGCCACAGAGAAATGCTCAAGCGCTGCAAAACCCAACTCAAGGTTTCTATTTTTACATGCACAGCCTCTCCTGTATTCTTTGACAGTATTATGTCCGCACTTGGTGGCACAGTGCTTCGTCCCTGAATAGCAAAGAATTCCTCTCACTCCTCAAATGCTGAAACACTACATTATCTTGTACATTCAGTCCAAAACGAATCTTTTTAGCATTTCACTTGTGCCCTCCCAGAAACTGGTTCGGGCCAAAGCTTGCGCTGACGTGGGTCTTCTGGATGAGAACTTGCTCCGCAGATGTCTGCAGTTCTACAGCACAGTCATTCAGCTCCTGCTCCGTATGGTGGACCCCGCTTACCCAAAGTGAGTCACATGGCTGGAATTGATGCGGCGTCACGCTCTCACTCAAGCTGAAATTGAAGTTATTCAGTTGACGACACGAGTTCATTTCTGTCCTTTCCTCACAGCGTCACCTTGCCGTTGAATCCTGAGATTCCCAAAACCTTTGCTGTGCTCCCGGAGTTCTACATTGAAGATGTCGCCGAATTTTTGCTTTTTGTTGTGCAGTAAGTTCACAGTTCAGTCCTTTACAAAGACATCTGTTAAGTAACTACAAATACATCCATAACGATGTTTTTGCACTTTTATTGTCAATTTTGACACAAACTCAATGCTCTTTTGGAGATACCCGTTGAACTTTGTTTGTTTGGAAATATCATCCTATAATGTAGATTGATGTGGCACTGTACTTACAATTAAATACAGTGGCGTGCTTTTGCACATAAGACTCATTTTTCTCTTCTTGCCTTTTCCTGCAGATATTCTCCCCAAGTTTTATATGAGCCTTGTGTTCAAGACATAGTTACCTTTTTGGTGGTGTTCATCTGCAGTCAGAACTACATCAGGAATCCATACCTAATTGCTAAGTTGGTGGAAGTTCTGTTTGTCACCAACCCTGCCGTGCAGCCTCGCACTCAGCGCTTTTCCGAAATGATGGAGAACCACCCTTTGTCCATTAACCAGCTGGTGCCCGCCCTTATGAAGTTCTACACTGGTGAGTGCCTCTGGTTGCTAAGATGCCTTAACAGTGAATTCGGGCTATTTCTAAATGACACTTTGGTTTTCAATCTCTCTATATAAGTATTCGTGTGGGTGTAGTTTGTATACAGTAGGACTGCCACTGCCATTGACTCCTCTTTCATTGTTTTAATGTGGCTAGATGTTGAGCGTACCGGCGCCACCAGCGAATTCTATGACAAGTTCACCATAAGGTACCACATCAGCACCATCTTTAAGAGTCTGTGGCAAAACATCGCCCACCACGGCACATTCATGGAAGAGTTCAAGTGAGATTGATTGCAACGCACAATTTGTGATTTTGTAATAGAGTGACGCATATTAACCCAATTTGCATGTTGTCATGCTCCTGTTCTTTTAGCTGCGGCAAACAGTTTGTCCGCTACATCAACATGTTGATCAATGACACCACCTTCCTGTTAGATGAGAGCCTTGAGTCGCTGAAGCGTATTCATGAGATTCAAGAGGAGATGAAGAATAAGGATCAGTGGGATCAGCTGCCCCGGGTTTGTACTTGGCCTCATATTTATCTTAGCCAAGGAGGTTAGGGTTTCACCAACATATTTTGAACTTTTTGACGACAGATTTTCCAAGACAGTTTGCCTGTTTTGTACAGTATGATGATTGGGGTTTTTTTCCAGGCTGTTCATATTGAATTCAACCATTGAAAATATATGCGATTTCATTTTTTTCCTTTCAATTTATATACATTATATATATACACACACACACACACACACACACACACACACACACACACACATACACGTACACACACATGCCATTATTGTCTCCGTTTTATTAATGCCCATCCACCCTTTCAATGTTGAGCTTTCTTCTATTAACCATTTCTGTCGAGGGCCCTTTAACTTGCCATCATCAAAATGCTGATCAATTGTTTGTTGTTGTTTTTTTTTTTTTTTTTAATCAAACCCAAATATAATATCCAAACAACAGGACTTGCTCTTTAAAGATATTTCACATTTAAATATATCCTCCATTGCGTTGTGAATACCGTTCATATCTTTAAGTAGTTTGAAAATCTAAACCATAAATGAAGCAAGCCTGATTACCACTTTAACTTCATTGTGTGTGCGTGTATGTATGTACCCGGTCTTATTCAGGACCAGCAGCAGAGCCGCCAGTCCCAGCTGACTCAGGATGAACGAGTGTCTCGCTCTTATCTGGCGTTGGCCACAGAGACTGTGGACATGTTTCACATCCTCACCAAGCAGGTCCAGAAACCTTTCCTCAGGCCTGTGAGTATCTCCCATGCCACAATATATTTTTATTATTCTACTTTGCCAGAAGGGAAACGATGTCATCCATTTTTCACTTCATACAAAGGCACCCCTATCTGCCTTAAATGGACACATGCTCAGAATCGGACAAACTATTCCTAACAAGGGCGTTACCTTCTTGCAGGAACTTGGCCCCCGTTTAGCTGCCATGCTGAACTTTAACCTGCAGCAGCTCTGTGGGCCCAAATGTCGTGACCTGAAGGTGGAGAATCCTGATAAGTATGGCTTTGAACCCAAGAAGCTCTTAGACCAGCTGACTGACATCTACCTGCAGCTAGACTGTGCTCGCTTTGCTAAAGCAATAGCAGATGACCAGGTTGGAGACACTTAAGTGCTTTCAGTTAAATGTTGAATGATAAAACACAAAGGGGGAAATATATGATGAATTGCAGTCATGGTAGTCAGGCTGCCAGTGATTGTAGTAAATCATGTTCCGTTATGTCTGTAAGATAAGAGAATATATTTCTGTTCCGATATAGCGGGGATATCAAGCTTGTTTACACTACCGGGCGCATCATGGTTATGGTTGCCCTCAGAGAGCCAGATATAATGATAAAGCCACAGAAATGTACAATGGCTAGGGGTGGAATAGTATGAAACAAATCACGGTTTAGTGTGTACCTTGGTTTTAAGGTCATGGTTCAGTTCAAAATGGTTCAGGTAATGAAATGCAAAACAAACTCATATTTTGGATACAAAATGAACAGAAACCTTTTGTGGTGCACAAAATCATGTCCTGGGTTTGCAGGAGTTGAGTTTGAGACTTGTACTGCATCGTAAATATAATTCCTTCCTTGAAAGGAGGCCACATCACTACTGCTGAATCATGAAGCCTGAATTACAGGAAGCTGGAAATTTATTTTTAATTTGGACTGTAATGTCCGGTACACCATTTAACACCAAGCCCTTGTTTTTAATTTTTATTTCCGTTCACTTTGTGGGAATAATATAATGAGAATGACAGACTAGGGAAGAAAATTTTGAGAGTTACAGTATTGTGTACAATACATTCTCCCAACGACACGCTTCATATAACATTCTGTTGTTTTGCTCCCGTGTGTGTGTGTGTGTGTGTTTGCGTGTATGCATGCATGCACATGTGTGCGTAGCGGTCATACAGCCGAGAGCTCTTCGAGGAAGTCATCTCAAAAATGAGGAAGGCTGGTATCAAGTCCTCAATCGCCATTGAAAAATTCAAGCTGCTATCTGAGAAGGTGGAGGAAATAGTGGCCAAGAACTCCCAGTCGGAAATGGACTACAGTGACGCACCTGATGAGTTCAAAGGTCTGTGTGTGAGCTGCTCACACGTGCTTTTGAATCTGAGTCTGTCTTTTTTTTCCCCCCCCCCCCCGCCCCCATGCAACATGTTTAAATGTTATTACAGCCTATGTACTAATTTAAATCTTATTTCTTATGTTGTTTACCATGACTTTTGTGTTCAAAGGTCAAACCCTCACTCACAGGATCAAAACACTGCTCTGACTAAATGACCTCATTCTCCGATCTTTAACTAGTACAGCTGTCAAACTAAAGTTGAAGTCTGATTAATGGGCTGTTTAAAATAAAAACTTCTATTGTCATTAAAAAAACCAAACCAAAGTGCATGTTCAAATCTATTTATCCATTCATTTTCTGTAGCACTTGTTCTCAATAGGGGACAAGGTGAGTTGGAGACCAGCTGATTTTGGCCTGGATGCAGGGCAAATATAGACACCCAACATTTACATTCAGATTCACACCTATGGGACCAGTTAAAGTCTTAAACTTGGACTTTGGTGTGATGGAGGAAGCCGGAGTACACATACAAAACCAATACGATATTATGCTGTGCCGCCTGATTCAAATCCAAGGGTAATTTTTAAAAGGGTGAATTCATATGCAAAGACGGTTCCCGCAATGATCGTAGTAAACATTTATTAGCCCCAAAAATATCAACTGCAATCCACGTTGGACCGTTTGCTTTGCAATTGTGTCATAAATATGTGTAGTTTTTGTTGCCTCCTAAACAACAACTGGCATTCGAAACCATTTCTTGCTGGTGTGAAATGTTGTCTAAGTATAGGTGCTGTTCCCCATACATGATAAGATATACCAGGGCCTTGTAATCAACTAAAAGCCTTGACTGTACTTGACCGTAACTGTTGAATAGCAGGGGATTTGACACCCCATAAAAGTCATATAGACCATTTGGACGAAGGCTATCCTATTACCACCGACTTATTATAATCTAGAATAAGAACGTGACCTGCATACCTGCTTTGATTTCCCAATAAGACTGCCTTGGTCAACGGGACTGTGTCACACGAAGCACAGCCGGCTCGGGTTTCCGTGCAGCTAAAATCTCCCACGCAGTTTCTTTTTTTTTTTTTTTTTAATAGAAACTGAAGTCCGACTTTTGACATATCAAGTGTGAGGCAATAGTTGCTGTTCAGGATTATTTGTTCAATCTATTATTTGCTGGTGTTTGATGGGTGCAAAGCTCACCCCCCGGTCGTTTTAGTCACTATTAACATTTTCTTGCTCTTGTTTTGGCAGATCCTTTGATGGACACGCTGATGACAGACCCTGTGATGCTGCCCTCGGGGAACATCATGGACCGATCCATCATCCTTCGCCACTTGCTCAACTCGCCCACTGATCCATTCAACCGGCAGCCTCTTACCGAGAGCATGCTGGAGTCAAGTAACTAAGTTTATTTTCATGACACTTAAAGCTGGAAGACTTTGATTAGAGAGTTATTTTGACTTACTGATGCTGACTTTTGAGGGTTTTTTTTCCGTTTTAAATGCCAAAAAAGAGCTAGATTGCCGATGCACTTTGAGCTGTTTATTGACTGCACCAAACAGTCAAACACACAAATACAAAATGAAAATAATTGCAAGGAGCTACAGTAGGCCGAAAGTCATACCCAGACGCTCACATGCAAATTAACTGGCAGATTTCCTGACAGCACTCACTCAACCACAGCCCTTCAAAGCACACACATATAATCATATTCTCATTGATTTGACTTTCAGCTTGTCCTAATGTACGGCGATTATCCTTTATAAAATCAATTTCTTTCTTTACAGTCCCTTTTATTGTTAAAAAATTATTTAGTGCTAGCGTTTCTTTATAAAAAACATTAAAAAGTGGTGGTCTTTTTTTTGGGGGGGCTGTAACGGATTAATAGCATTTTCATTTGATTTCGATGGGGAAATTTGATTTGATATTGAGTGAAGACCTATGTAGATAGTTATGAGCTTGTTCTCGGAACGGATTAACCAGGTAAATCACAGTACCACTGTAGATTGAGAAAAGTCGGATCGGAACATGTTCCTCACGATGTGTTTGATTTCTCAGTTCCTGAACTGAAGGAGAAGATCCACACCTGGATGAGAGAGAAACAGGGAGGACGACCTGTCTAAAGACTTGATGTCAACAATGCCTTGCCCGCCGGCTCTCCATAACGAAGGCATCTGGCCCAAATCACATGAATTCAGTGACACTCACACCAACAATAACCAACATGATGATTTTTATTTGTGCTCTTTTTGCCCTACCCAGGACATTAGAATGATGCTTAAAACACATCAAAATAAAATTAAGAATTACTTTTTTTTTGCGTTGAAAATTGTGTATACTGTATATGTATATCCAGATATATACATATTGTTTCTAAGGCTGCACAAAACAGTCTTCATCACACATAGGTTTCCCAGAGAGCTGCAGACAGTGACTTCATTGAATATTTCCTTTATGGTCCTTGTGTGTTTTGTAACAATGTATATGTGGGCGTTATTAAAGACTTGTGATGCTTTTAGGGTGACGGGCTGTGCAGCATTTTTGGAAGTTGTCGTCGTAAGGGAGGCAATGACTAACATGAATTGGTCTAACGTGCTGGAGTCCCAGAGCTGATCAGATGCACCACCTGTGCTTGTATTAGGCAGAATTAAGGATGTAGCTTAAACAATCTAAAAATGTTTGTTTCCTTTTAAGTGCAGTCAGATGTTATAAGCATTGATGTACCATCAAACTATATGTAATTTTTTTCTCTCTCCCCCCGCCCCCACCCTCAATCACATTTACCCTGCTGACTTTGAAAGACTGAATTGGCTTTTTTGGGCGCATGGCTGCTATTCTAGAACCCATAAACCCTGACAGAAAAAAAACAAAACAAACTCAAAAACAGGCAATTTGCTCTATACATGACGGAATGTAGCATGAGCTCCAGCAACATCGGAATACCTTGACATCACGTGTAGAGATAGTCCTTCTCGAGCTGTACCTAACGTGACCTTGCTGACCTTAACTGTACAGGAACTGATCTCTTAACTACACACAACTGTTTTGGAAGCTAGGATTTTGAACTGAAAATAAATGATAATGCACATCATTTCAAACTGTGTGATTGCTTTACGCCCTCATCCATGACTGTGGCAAAAAACAAATGTGATAATATGACTTACTGGAATACTAGGGGTGTCAAACTCATTTTTGTCACGGGCCACATCATAGTTACTGTTTCCCTCAGAGGGCCGTTGTGACTGTGAAACTATAAAGTCGAGAATAATGGTGAATCCAACTACTGTTTAACCTTATATGTTAGAAAGCTGCCCACATCTTTAGTGCTTGTGGGTCAAATTTGACCCGTGATTTAACTCAGCCTGAAAATACTTCAAAACACTCATTATAATCCAATACTGTTTTTCATGTCATCGCTAACTTTAATATATACATATTCATTTTCATTTGTTTTATTTTATTTTGTGCTCTATAGACCTTTTACAATAATACCACTCGTTTTTGGTTACAAAAACTGGTTACATTTACAAATTATATTTCCTACAGAGATTTTATGAGTAATTATCCATGTCTTATAAACTAATATTAGAGTATACCTACCCCCCAAATTATTTTATTATTTAAAAATGATTAACAATTGTGACATCTGTGGTGCAATAAATCAAAACTTACCCATATAGATTTATAATAGGATAAAGACTAAACGTTCATTTTCATAAAACCAACTTAATTTTAACCAGAATTGCAAGTGCAAATTGATAATTAAGCCATAAACTCAACAAGAAAATGTTTACAATACTATTATTTATTACATATGAAAGTTTGGTCCATTTTTAACCAAGCATCATGGAAGTTCACATGTTTGATTTGCTTTTGTGGGCCACATAAAATGATGTGGCGTACCAGATCTGGTCCCTGGGCCTTGTGTTTGACGCATGTGCTGTAGTAGAATCAAAAGTTTTGATACTTCATACACCACATAAATGTATCCTATCTTCAAAATCAGTAAATGTGATTGGATTAACCAGGTCAACATCCAAAATGCAGTGTGAAGGACCCAAAAGAGAGACAACATCAAGAGATTCATCTTTTTCAATCAAACCAGTGAGAGAGTGGAATAAACTCACAACTGTACTCAAAACCTGCATAAATTTGGAAACATTCTGCGCTGAAACAAAAAAGGGTGACAAAAGGAATTCATGCATATCAGCATTCATCTTCACTGGCGGAGTAGGTTTTGCAGGTATATTGTGTGATGTTATTTTCCTACCCCCTTTTATTTGTATATTAACTCAGTTTTTATTTGTTCATTTTAAAATGGATTACTTTTACCGTCCGACATCGGCCCTACCCTGGTCTCTGTTGTGTTCTTTAGCTCGTCGTTGGTATCTTTGTTGATTGTGTCTTTTTTTTTGTGTTATGTCAAATTGTCTCAAATACGTATTCCGTCCATCCATCAATTATCTGAATAACTAAAAGGATGATTAAACTTGAACCGAAGTATTGCTCAGTCGACGGAAATCTTTGCGGTGGCTGTGGGTGTCGCGAAGCCGGCCTTGCGGAGAGCGGTGCTATCAACAAATCCTGCAGTGGAACGTCACACACGCCCCTTCCGCGATCGAAGATGCCCATTGGTTTATTTCGTCATGTGTCACCTGAATCTATTCCCTCACTGGACAAACGGGTTGTCACTCATCGCGCTTCGCGAGCGAGTTGACGTAATCTCGGTGAATCAAGACAGTTTATCAATTCTCTCCGCCTGGCTGCAGATTGACGCCCGTCTTTTCATCTTTAAGGGAAAAAACGATCTACAAGTTGTCCTTGGCCTCGATTCGAGCTCCAATCAGCGGAAGACACCACTAGAATGGGTTTTTTTCGCCAGAGTGGACTTTACGACAGTTTGCCCGCTTGCGCATTCTGATAGAAAAACAACACGTTTGACGTCCGCTAGCTTAATCGTTAGTAGTCGCCGCTGCCCTATGCTGTCGGCGCTGCTGGAGTGACAGTCTTCGAAGGTGAGTAAATACAGTCAAGTTCCTAATTTAAATCCCCCAATGTCACCCCTAAACGATGTGGTTATTACTCAGTAATACCAGGCATTTGTTCGTGGTTTGGCCAGTGAGCATTAGCCTGCTATAGCTTGTCCCAGACGGGCGGGTGTGTGGTGGTGTCTCCGGACCGTTACACAGTCCCTTTCCCAACCTCAATATTAACACTTAAATTCCTTGTATATTTTAGTTTGTATTTTATTTGCTGACAAATACGTTGAAATTGGATGACTTTCTAAATATTTCCGACGCCGGATTGGAGTCGCGTCACATATGTTAAATCCACAGGCGTGAACGATGCGCTGATTAATAGTGCCGGCAAGAAAGAAAGACAAATGAGATAACAAATAAGTGATGTCCTGTCATTTCCATTCAATGCCATTCACTTTAGCCGCTCACGTACGGTTCATCGGGGACAATGCGTCCGTGCTGTGCTGCTAAAAAAAGCACCCGGCTGCATCCTGTCGCACTATTCAACAGCATACAGCAGCGGGGGGTTTCGCTCAGTGCTCACATCGTCTTTTTAATGGGGGGGGAAGCTACGAAAACTTTGCCCTCAGACAGTTCTAAAAGGTTCGAGATGCAGGCCTGGTCCACCGTCCTTCCGGAGCGCCAAGCCAACGGGCTGGATAGAATTTCATGGGCGTATGCTTTCACAAGTATCGCTGACTTGCAAGCTTATGGAAAGTAAAGATTTGTTTCGATTGGATGCACAACGCCGTCCCTTTACAAAGTTTTCTTCGGATGGCTTATGCTTGGTATTGGTAATTGGCTTTTGGTAGAAGCTCTTGCAACACTTGTGAAGCTTTTTTCGCCCTATTCGCTGGGGTTAACAAACAAATTGCAAGAAATTGACCTTCCAAAAATTTTTAGAATTTAGTGTATTAATAGTTTGAACCAAAATAGCCCCCCTCCAAGTCCTTTAATATCAACTCAAGATTACTCATAATAAATACTTGCAGCTAACAGACTATTTGAAAAAAATGCCCCGGATGTACGCTGAAGTTTCTCTTTAACTTCCTCTCACAACACAGGTCAGTTGAGACTTCAACATAATTCTCACCAATTTCTAATTTCCTCTCATCTCTAAGTGTTATGGAAAACGCACAAAAACATGAGTGAATGCTTGCAAATGACTCTTTTTGTAGACAGGCGCATCATCATTTTTGTGCTGAGGCAAGTCTCGTTTACCGTGCTTGGGAATTTGGTACACTGCCTTGCGCCGCGCTGGATATTCCGGCATTTTTTACTATACGCACCCGGCGCGCCTCGCACTTTGATAGTAGACTATCATTTAGATCAGCTAAAAGCAGGTCTAAATTGTGACACAAGTGGTACAGTGCGATTTTGGTGGATTTCATCGAGGCGCACACGGGCAAACACGTTTGGAGCCATTTTTGTCAACAGTTGTGGTACTCCTGTCATGCCTTCAGGTATTTAACGAGAACATTTTCTTCATCCTGTAGGAGGGAGGCCACACAACGCATTTTACTTGGAGATTGTCCCCCACCGCAAACATGTCCGGGGCGTCGGTAAAAGTCGCTGTTCGAGTTCGACCCTTCAACTCCAGGGAGACGAGCAAGGATTCGAAATGTATCATTCAAATGCAAGGCAACACTACAAGTAAGTCACCCAACATATGCACGCCTGGGCCATGTTCACGTATGCTCAGTGAGCTTTTACACAGGCACACACGCACAAACACAGGTGCGCACTCACACTATAAAATTCTCATCATCGAAAAACATGATGCCACAGCATTAATTTTGATATATTATGAGCATTTGTTGGTTGGTAGAATTGCACTGCGGGCCGGATCCAATGCCCTTGGCGGCTGCATATAACCTAGCAGCTGTAGTTTCTGAGTCCTTGCATTCCTATGTTGCCATCATTTGGGCCTTTTATCAGTGAATAGTGAAACAGTTGGGGACAAACAGGGCTGAAGAGAAATAAAAAGGCTCACAGGGTGACATTCCTCCTCCTCCTCCGAAGGGGCCTGCATGCCTGAGGAGTTTTTGTGTGGGAAATGCTGAGTTGGTTTGTAGCAGGACAGGCAGGAGCTGCAGCGCAGCCGGACTGCACCCCTGATTCATCAAGGCTTCCTCCCCACATTTTCTATGGTGTTTTTTTTCAATGGCTATGTGAGTGGCATATTTTTTATGGTTTGATGTGGCTTCTTGTATCATATCTTTTTTATAGGGGTTGTAGAGCTGAATGATTAAACAATGTGCATACAGTATGTCCAGGGCTTAACAAGTTTACCAGCTGAACACTTTTATTCGCTTGTAAATTTCACAACAAAGTCAAGTTAAGCCAAGTGTTAATGGGTTCCACTCAAGGGGATATTTTTTCAACACGCACAATATAATGAAATCGATGAGGTTGAACATAATCTATTCGGGTATGGTCTGATGTGTTACATTTAAAAGCACATGTTCCTATTTTAACTGATGACAATCGAAACAAACTGTTACCATCGTAAATATTTTTGTTTTCGGTTGTAAACATGATTTACTGCCTCCTAGTATTCTTAAGATATTAAAACAAAAATTTAAAGGCAAATTTTGGTTGTCATCAAAGTTGCCTCACGGATGCGCCTGCGGTGTGCTTTTTTTTTTTTTTTTTTTTAAACGTGTCACACAGGCACAATACATATAATATTGTAACTTAGGTAACATCAACAAGGTAAGCACTAACTATATTGTTGATCATTTGTAAAGGAGTTAAAAATGAGATGTAAACAATGTTTTTAAGATAAGATAACCTTTATTTGTCCCACGCTTGGGAAATTTGCAGCATTATGGGGACTTTATTGTTTCTGATGCTTTGAGAAATTACCGCAAGAGAAGGATTAATCTTGCGAATGCGGCATCCTCTTTAAAAAGATGGGTAAATGTACTTTAAAATGTAGTTGACATATACGTTGCAATACGTTAAGGGCATTCTTTATATCTCTCTCTACATATATCGATTGAAAGATTTGGCAAAGCAATTAAAATAAAAGCACAGGCAACGGTAAATGGACAAGAATGTCTTTCATGGTCTTGTGATTGAACATGTGTGTGTTGGTTTTTGTGACTGTGAGTCATCAGGAGTTGGATGCCGCGAGCTTCCATTTCAGTGCTACTTCCTCTTCCATCTGAGACATGATCTGAAGTCTATTTCATATGAACATCCATTGACCCGGTAACACCAAACTATTCTCCCAACTGTGAATTTGTTCTCTCAGTCAGATCAGACTCATTAGACTAAGCCTCCATAAATCTATGCGAGTTTCTCAAAACAGTTATGGCTGACTTGCTTTATCGCTCCGCCAAATAAAGCTCTGTGTGAAATCCAGCGTGCCGGTTCTCCTTGTTCTTTGTTTTTTTTATTTTTTTTTATCATGCCCATATCCTTTTGAGGGCGGTGCGTGCGTGTGGTCCATGGCAGAACTGCAGTGGAATTTGTCGCGTTTTGGTGGCTTGGATAGTCTTTGCATCGTTCTTTTTTTTTCGTCGTCCTGCACACGGGCAGATTGCACAGTAAAAAGGGGCGCTGGCAGGCAGCCACGCTTTCACTTCATTGGAGCTTCATTGCAGATGGTATGCCGAGAATGCTATCTTATTAGAATGCTGAAAAGCTCAACCTAGCTTGTAAAACACACAAACACACACACACACTTTCATATATATTGTTAAGACTTGTATTGCATTTGATGTACTTGGAATATCTCGTCCAAAGCCTGTATACACGGTACTATGAACACTTTCACACATTTTCCAAGATGATGATTAATTTAGGTCACTGGAGCTAATGGTCAACAACAAGCCAAAAATGGTTTAGCAGCCGATGAACAAGCACGTCCATACAGTAAGTGAGCCATCATAACTTAAGTGGAACTGTGGATGTGCATTTGACAGCATTTCCGCAATGGACCTGCTAGAAATTAGCAAGCAATGAATCAATTATTACTTTTGAAATATTGTTTTTAATGGCATGAACGAGTCTCTCCGTGAATATTCAGACTCCTGTGGCAGCGTGGGCTCACGTCCCACTCCGTGACGGTGTGAATGTGACATGGAATGCTTGTCTGTTTCTACTGAGTATGTACTCTGCAACTGACTGGCGACCAATCCAGGGTGGCCTCCAACTTCCGCCTGCAGTCATCTTAGACAGGCTTCAGTTCCCTGCGACCCTAAAAACAGGATAAGTGGGATCGAAAAAAGATGGATGGGTGGCTCTTAATGTCGTTTACAACCAACAATTCCAGAGAGGAAAAAGTTAAAAAATTAAGCAAAGTAGAAATGCTAAATACATATATAATTTTTTTCTTTTGCGGATTTTGTTAATGTTGATGATTATCAGTATGTTCTACTGAAAAAAACCCGGCACATTTCGCATTCTTTTGGATTGATATTTTGCTTAACCCATAGTAATATGGTTATAAAATCGTTATTGAGATATCATAAAAATATGGCGATTAGACATTTTGTCCATATTGCCCAGCCCTAGTGTAGGTGTCGTTGAGACTGTGACACTCCCCTTATTATTGTCTGCCTCGAGAGCGTATTGTGGGGCTGTTTCTGTCAAGAACACTGAAAAACAGACAGCTCGGGGGCAAAGGCAGGATATGTCGTCTCCCTCTCTCTGCCTCACTCGTCTGCTCTTCATGCATGCAGGGTTGTCAAGGATCGAGTGCTAGCAAATTGATTATTCACTGTTCAGGGAACGTGTCCAAGGCCTCTGCATGCAGGCAGGCCGGCAGGCAGGCAGGCTTCAAACAAGTGAAGGCCTCTTCTGAGTGGAGACACATACTCTTACAAAGCAGGGCTAATATCATTAGAAAGGGATGATGCCATACGCTTATTGATATTGCCTGTGTTTCAAATGGCATCCAGAGCCTGCCTTCATTAAGGGTCTGATGTTTTCTCCATGTCGGCCTCTAGATTGTTATGTAACTCATGTTATGTTCTCGGTGAGCTGCCTTGCATGTATGGATGACCAAAAATGGTCAACAGATCATACAATCAGTGAAGTGCTGATTGTAGTGAAATAGGTGTGAGTGCGTGTGTGTATTGGGGGTGGGGGGGATGGGTCACGCATGATTTGTTTGGAACGTCACCCAATTTTGTATTTTTGAAGTACATGTTAGGGAATGGTACCCCACCTCTCAAGATGAGCAGAAACTAATTGTCAAAGTGAAAGTCACCGACGATTAAAATGTCACCTGTCAGATGCATTTCAGATGAGGGTCATCACTGAGTGCCACGCGCTGACATAAATTCTAGCTGTTTTTATTTCACCTGAACGTGGTACTGCCCGATCAGGATCCGTCTTTTGGATGCCGGCACAAGTATGGCATATCATGGATCTGCTGAACCTTCCGCAGACAGGCCCGATTGACCCGATTAGAAGCAGTAAATCCACAGGCTTGCCTCGGGATGCCACGCCCTACCGCCGTAATCCCCATGACCCTTGTCGGTGTGTGCTGACACTCCGGGGTGTCACATTCCTCATTGGCTCATGCTGGGATTGACTTGGACCAACACACATGTGCCCACGTGCGCCACTCGGAGAGCGGCTTGACATTTAAGACTGACCTCCTAATGAGGGGGTGGGCGGGGGTTGCGGCACTGCTGGCAGATGTCTGTGTCTGTTATCAGTGCACGCTGTGTGTGTTATAAGACTCTCGAGGCACTGGCATAATTGCGTCCTGCTGACTGCTTCTCAATAAATCATTTATTTTAATTCAAGAGCCAGATACGGAAAATACCTGTAGATTAAGGTTCAATAGAAATAGATTGATTCTGAATGTTTTTCACTCCAAGTTGAAGTTGAACACTACCATCCATCCATTCATTTTCTATTCCGCTTGTCCTTATTTAGAATCGCAGTTGAGCCGGAGCCACTCCAGTTGACTTTAGACGGGAGGCGGCGCACATGTTGAAAAAGAACTCAAATTCATATCTATGGACAATGTAAAGTCTTGATTGGAACTAACACGAATGGTTTTCATTGTTCTTAAAAGAAACCGAAATTCAAGGCGCACCAAAATGAAAATTCTTGGCCGAAACTGAAAACCAAAAATGAGGAACCCAATGCCGCAAAATAAAAAAATAAAATTTGATTTTTCTGCACCTCGACACTCCCTCGTAACCCCCATCGCGACTCCATCGCGGCATTAATATGTGTGGCCATTCACTTGAACTTTTCCAAGAGCAACTATTGCTGAAGTTTGCTAGTGGATCCTGACAATGTGGCGCAGTGTCAAAAATCTATTTTTACCAATAGGTTTCGAAAGGCTGCACTTCTGCGTGATGAAGAGGACTGCACAAGCTCATCTGCAAATTTGCCTTGTGTGAAAACGAGGGAGGTTGAGAAAGTGTGTTAACAAAAGAGGGGCTTTCCTTTTTGACACTGATGGGTGGTTTGCTGTTTTAATGCAGAGAGGGTGGAAGATGACTTTTATGGGAGGCCACCATGTAATTAACCATGCTCGGCATTGTTTGTGTGTGTGGGGGGGGGGCGCATTTATCTGTGTTTAAGGTAATAAGTAAAAAAAAAAAAAAAGCACAAGTGACCTCTATTTCTTTGCAAAGATCCCAAACATGGAGACCCGTGGCTAATAAAGCAAAACAGCC